CGTAAGGGGCGTAAGGGGCCGCGCGAGGGGCCGTAAGGGACGGCGCGAGGGGCCGTAAGGGACGGCGCGAGGGGCCGTAAGGGCGGCGCGACGGGCGCGACGGGCCGTAAGGGCGGCGCGAAGGGCCGTAAGGGCGGCGCGAAGGGCCGTAAGGGCGGCGCTGGGGAGCCGTGAGAGGGCCGCTAAGGGCGACGCGACGGGGCCGTGAGGGGCCTAGCGAGGGCGCGACGGTAGGGAGAGCACACAGGGCGCGACTCGGGCCGGAGCGAAGCGCGCTCCGGGCAGGAAAAAAAAAATTCGTGGTGGTGGGCCCTAGGAATCGTTCCCACTAGGGAACCTGCTCGATACCATGAGAAGAAACGAGGAATGAAATGACTAAGGGAAAGTTGGGTACAAAAGCAAACCCTAGAAAAACTGTACCCCATATGTGCTACCCCACTATAGCCTACAGTAGCTATGTCATATAAATCTGACACTGTTCACTGGATAGCAGCTGTGAGGGTGGCGAAGTACCTAGCGACGACATCAGGCGTGGGGCTAGTTCTTGGAGGGCAGCAGTCTGTCGTACTCACTGGTCACTGTGACTCTTCTTACGCTGACGACGCTGAGACTCACAGGTCTACTCAGGGTTACTGTTTCAGCTTGGGTTCTGGAGCTGTTTCGTGGAGGTCCACGCGCTCCTCTTCGGTCTCAACCTCTACTGCTGAGGCTGAGATCTACGCTGGTGCCATGGCGGCACAGGAGCTGCGTTGGTTGACCTTCTTGCTCGCCGACCTTGGTGAGTGGCCGAGCTCTGCACCGACCTTGTTCATTGACAACAAGGCGTCGATTCTCCTCTGTCGAGAGCCGCGACTGGAGAGCAGAGTGAAGCACATTAACGTCAGGTACTTTCTTCTGTGTGAGTTGCAGAGACGTGGACAGGCTCGCTTCGAGTTTGTGGAGTCCGAGGCCAACACTGCAGACATCTTCACCAAGGCGCTTCCGCCTTGTGACCACCAGAGGTGTTATGTGCAGTTAGGTCCTGTTGACAGAGGTTCTAGTCCTGTGTAGGCCTGAGTTTACTGTTTGCTTTGCTTGCACTCTTGCCATACACCTTTGTGAACTCTTGGACTGGCCTTGTGCTCAGATTGTGTGGTGACGTTGTGATCCACCCTGAGCTTTGTTTCTTTGCGACTGGTCTTGTGACCGTACACTTTTGGTTTTGCTTGACACCTCCCACTTAGGCTATGGGGGTGTGTCAAATGTTGTAGCCTGTAGTGAGGTTTGTCTTGTCAGAACTTATATTTGTAACTGCCTGTAGCTGTAGTTAGTGTAGTTATTATAAACTTTGTTTGGTGGTGCACCTTATTTGTTTCCTTTGCTATATGTTCTTCGAAACCTATAGTGAAACCATCCTTTCCAACTTCCTCGACATCTCACCCTAGGCACAAACTACTCGACATCCTAGTTGGGCCTAGGCTCCTAAGCCTAGGCCCTAGTTAAACTTGATCTCCTTCCTACGATTCTGTCATGCTATCAGAGCGTTTTACGTCCTGGCCTGTGGGCCCGCCAATATGCTTCCGCTGCTATTTTTCTCGGTCGCGCGCCTAGGGCGCGTGGCGATTTTCTCTTGTCCCGCCCCCGGTTGGCGAGTGACTCCTTCTCTGCCCGTCGCGCGCCCCGTGGCACGCGACGGTGCCCTAAACCTGCCCGTCGTGCGCCCCGTGGCACGCGACGGTGCCCTGCTCGTCGTGCGCCCCGAGGCACACGACCGGGCCCTAAACTTAAACTTGCCCGTCGTGCGCCCCGTGGCACGCGACGGGCCCTCTCCGCACCTGCTCTCCCTGCAGCCGCCCCTGACCTACCTGCGCCGACACAATGTAGCCGCTCTGCGGCTTTCTTCCCGCCCACCCCCTCCTCCTTTGTTTCCCTGCAGCCGTGGGGAGGAGGGTATGGGGGTGGCGGGTGTTGGAGCTTTGGGTCGTTTCCTTCCCTTCCCCTCCTCCTCCTTTCGTTCCCACTGCTGCAGCTGCCGCTGGGGGGGAGGGTGTGAGGGTGTGGGGGAGAAGGGGGAGTGGCACCGGGGTGGCGGGTGTGAGGCAACCAGCAGCCGTCCCTCCACCTCTCCTCTCTTCCCCCCCCTCTCTGCTGCTCCTGCAGCAGTGTGGGGGAGGGGAAGGAGGAGGGTGAGGAGATGGAGGGGGTGACCAGCTAGTGTTAGCCCGCCTGCAGTACCTGCTGTTGCTTGTTTATTATTTTGCATGTGTACCCCTGCAGGTTGTATTCTGCACAAACTCCTGATGCAGGCAGTTATGGGGGAGTGTCAGAACTTATATTTGTAACTGCCTGTAGCTGTAGTTAGTGTAGTTATTATAAACTTTGTTTGGTGGTGCACCTTATTTGTTTCCTTTGCTATATGTTCTTCGAAACCTATAGTGAAACCATCCTTTCCAACTTCCTCGACATCTCACCCTAGGCACAAACTACTCGACATCCTAGTTGGGCCTAGGCTCCTAAGCCTAGGCCCTAGTTAAACTTGATCTCCTTCCTATGATTCTGTCATGTCTTAGGGGGTACAAATGTTAGGGTTGCTATATGTACCCCAACCCTCATCAATAACACAACACGTTCATTCTTGACAGCAATCACCACCTCTCGATTTCTCATCGACGACCAAAATTACCGAGCAGCACTCTCCTTACCCATCGCTGCTTACTGATAAAGTATCGACGTGTCATCACATGACGAGAGAATATGCGCCTTAGCAGAAATCCTCGATTTAGTATCAACCCTGAATGCACACTGACGCTATGTTGTGGAAGATGACTTGTCCACGATATATTAACCATTACATAAGTCTGTCTGTTATTTTTTTTTTTTTCTAATTACATGGACAGGAAGTCTTCAAAAACAACAAATTTATGACTACATTACTCTGTGTTTCTGAAGTCCGCAGAATGAAGATGTGATACAACCGATAAAAAAGAATTTATTTGGGAAAATATGTCAATGGTAACTTACATGGGGAACTATAACGCGTACGGTAACGATTTCAACGCGTTTGGTAACTCGCTTAACGCGTTTGGTAACTCGCTTAACACATTTGGTAACTCGCTTAACGCGTATGGTAACTATACACTAGCAGCCCATCACGCGAATGGTAACTAGAAGAAACCCTCGCCCAAAATGACTCTGATTCTGGTTTTTCCCGCTCGCGTCAGACTAAATTGACGAATCTTGAAGCACAAATATCTGACTCACTCTCCGAAATTCTGACACACTTTTCCGAAATTCTGACACACTTTCCGAAATCCTGACACACTTTCCGATTTTCAAGCTAATTGCAAAAAACGTTAGTGTTGTGAAAACAACTGTTCATACAAACTGATATTCTGGCGCTCTTTCCACAAACTGTTTGTACTTTATTCTATCGTGCAGCCGGGGCAAACGAAATCTAACCCTTTCAGATGGCAAATGAATTTGAGAGCATCAACCCTAAACTCATTGCGACAAGGCGTTTATGGTTCTTTTTTTTCAAATATAACATGTAATTCTAAACAGGTGTATTTTTTCCTACATGCGAAAACTCTCCAACGTTGCAGTAATTAAAAAAATTAAGGCCCCGAGGTTCTTTCGGGAAATGTTTTTTTTTTTAATCATTTTGCAAGTTCGCGATGATGCTATCAAAAATATGATTTTAACCGTTTTTGTACTTGCTACTTATATATATATAAAACGCCTCTGAAACTTTTTGGTCCGTGGTAATATAACAAATGGGATCCTTCAAAGTCGCGGCGGGACTTGTTCAAGAAAGATAAAACTGTGCGTAAACGCTTTCACAATTGATAAATGTCTTTTTGTCAGGATTATTTCGGCGGGAGTTTCATGTAGTTACCATTCGCGTGATGGGCTGCTAGTGTATAGTTACCATACGCGTTAAGCGAGTTACCAAACGTGTTAAACGAGTTACCAAACACGTTAGCGGAGTTACCAAACGTGTTGAAATCGTTACCGTATGCGTTATAGTGCCCCATCAGGGCTGATTTTATCATACTAAAATAGTCTGATTGTCTGAAATCTCAGACTATTTTCCTACTGATCCTGATTTTTCAGAGTTGTTCAATTTCCAAACATGAGTGCTTCAGACTTACTTGTTTCTGAGTACTGAGAATTTCAGAGTAGTCACTTTGCGGATACTGGGTCTTCAGACTACAGGGAGTACGGATCCTGAAATGCGGTTATGTACTTTCTACGTAGCTTCTGCAACGTCATATGTTGCCAGTGTACAAGAACACTTCACCGCGCTGTCACGCGCAAAATCTGTACTGGGCAGATTTGCCACCCATCCCCTTAGCATTCTGCCCAGTTGGCTCGCTGTTTCTTTCACGTGGGACCATCGCTGGCTCCCACGCAGCGTCAGCCAAAGGAACCCAATGCTGTATCAGCAAAGTCGTTAGCGCCTCCCCTTATGCGGTTCCTTCGTGGCTGTGCTGGGTAGCAGCGGCGGGATGGTGACGAGCATGGCGGTTCGACACCACCCACGGCAGAAGCAATCCATGCATCTTGGTGTCCCGGATGCATCTGGACGGCGGTGGGGTTTCTCCCCCACCGCTCAGTTCAGAAGCCTTCCATAAGCTCGGCTGCCTCTCTTCCCCTGTATGTGGCCTTTGTCGTGCTAGTCAGTTTTCACTAGTTCGTAAGACATGACAGGACACGGTGTGGGGGAGCCCTTGTCTGCTGATGCTGGCCACCCTAGTTCGAAGGATGTCCCCAAGTCGGGGCTCGACTTCCTACGCCCTGCCGTAGTAAAGGCAGTAGCCCGTAATCCACCAGCGCCCACTCCTATTCCTGCTCCACCTGTGACGGAGTACCAATTACCTCCCGCAGTGGCATCATCTAGCAAGGGACCAGTCATCTCCCAGACCCTGAAAACAAAATCAACTGTGCGTTACAGCGTGCCCTCTGCATTAGTCCAGTCAGCATCGAAAAAACCGCGTACGCAGAAATGGGTACAGAGCACCATGAGCCTTGGCGGTAGGTTTAAGAGGCCACCACCACCTCCCTCACCGCCTGCTGCCTCCTCACCTGAAGCGCCGGTACCGATCAAACTGTCGGCCAAGGAGAAGATCGAACAGAAGTGGCTGCTGGCGGAAGCTAACTACAAAGCCAAGTGGCGACCGCTCTTTCCGTGGCTGCTCCTCGTCCGAGCCAAGGATGGGCACCCTTCGCTCAAGTGCGCCATCAGCCGGGCGTTCGGGAAGGAGACCACGAAGTACTCTAACCCCGGCGATGGCGCGCGCGACTTGCAGACTCAGACCATGCGGATACATGAGCACTCGACCGTCCACCAAGAAGCTGTTGAGCGGCAGCTGGAGATCAGTGAAGCGGTCGAGGGCAAACAAAAGCGGCTGGACGGATTCACGAGGAGGGACGTGGAGGGCCGCAGGGTGATTCGGCTGATGCGCACGACGAACTTCATCTGTAAGGTTGACGCACCGATTTCCATGTATCCGCGGCTTGTGCGTTTCTTGGCTGAGCAGGAGACGCCAGACCTCCCTCAACAGTCGTACGGCGTGTACCTTACACGGTGAGGTTTTGATGGCTAACCATTTTTGTTTTGGATTTCACGGGAGAGGTTCATTTGGCTAACTCTGGCTTTGCTTTTCAATGTGTTGTTACTGCAGGTATGGGTTCCAAGAACTTGTACACTGCGTCGCTACAGTTCTGCAGGCGACGCAGATGCGGCACATCCTAGCTTCCCCGTTCTTGGGCATCAGCACGGACGAGAGCACTGATCGCACACGCGGGAAACACCTCATCGTCTATCTCACCTTCCTGCGATACAACCGCCCTGTCACAGAGTTTTTTGCTCATCTCCCGGTCGAGAAATGTGACGCTGCTTCGCTCTTGTCTGTTATTCAGAGTCATCTGCAGACTGTCGGGGTGGAATTGCAGCGCATCTGTGCGATCAGCACCTACGGCGCCAACGTGATGGTGGGCTGTGATAACGGCCTTGTCACTCGACTTCGCGAGCACATCCCGCACCTCGTGTCAGCGCACTGCATCGCTCACAGGTATGAAATGTTGTGAATTTGATTTGTGTTCTCGCAATACGTGCTCTAGCTGTTTACGGTTTTGTTATTCGTGTGTTTGTGCAGAGAAGCGCTGGCGGTCAAGGATGCTGCCTTAGCATGTCCTGACATGGAGATGGTAGACAAGGTCATCAGGACACTGGCCGCGTTATTGTCGAACTCTAGCAACGCGAGCCAGCGCTTTCAGTACCTCCAGAAGACAATCTGCAAGACTAATTTAGAGGTCCAAGGCATTCACACCGTCAGATGGTTGTCACGCGGGGAGGCTGTGCGTCGGTTGTGCAGGGTGCTCGGCGCCTCGATTGTTCTTCTGGCTGAGAGCAAGCACAAGCTGTACGAGACAGTCATATCGTACAAGTTTCAGTTTTGTCTTTTCTTCCTTCCGGACGTCCTCGCCATCATGAACGAGCTCAACCTCAAGTTCCAGAAGAAAGAGGTGAGCATGTTGTATTTCAACCCGTCCGTTCAGAATTCGTGTATTTTTAACTCACAATCACTAACGTTCTCCTTTGCCCCTGTCACGTCTTGCTGCAGGTGGATGTGACAGAGATAGCCAAAGACATTGACGAGGCTACGGGAGACATGCGTCGGTGCTACCTTGAGTGCGAGGACATCTTCGGAGCTGGCGAGAGCCCTGTGCTGTCGGAGTTTCTAACGCTGTACGGGCGGGGTGGGGGGAAAAAGGTGCGGGTGCGCGGCGTGGACACTGAAGGACATCCCGTTTCCCGCGTCTACAAACTGCACGAGCGACACCTGAAAGGGCATGTGTACGGCAGCACGTACAAGGAGTGCGAGAAGCTGTGCACCAAGTTTGCACAGGAATGTGTGACCAGGCTTAACTTCCGCCTCTCCGATCTCAGGAAGCTGGCACCCACGAAGCTGTTCCGAGCTTCCAAGTGGCCGAAGCAACGGCAGCAGCGCGACAGGAAGGTCCGGGAGTACCTTCACGGATGAAGTGCTATTTTTGGCGACAAACTCCCGGGCTTCGACATGACTGCTGCCGAGAGGGAGCTTCAGACGTGGGCGCCAATCATGGAGGCGCACCATGAGGATGAGGGCTTTTTCCAGGGTCTGCGCAACTTCATGAACACAACCGAGGCCTCCAGGTGCGTCTATTCGTTGTTTCGCCATTGGCTGCCGCTCCCATAGATGTGCTTTAACATGCCATTTGTAATGTCTGTTTCCTCCGTGCGTGTCTAATTTCAGACGCTGGCCCAACATCATGCGGATGTGGCAAGCGACCGCGGTGATGCCCCTGTCGACGGTCGAGTGCGAGCGAGGATTTTCACGCCAAAACGTGATCAAATCCTGGGTGCGGGGCGCTCTGGGCAACGCACGACTTGCGGAGCTGATGGCCATATCGCTGCTGGACTACGAGATCGACTGGGACGCAGCTCTTGCCAAGTGGCGAGAGAAGCCCAGGCGCCCTGCCAAGGCACCAGTTTTTGCAGCAGCTGAGAGGAAGCGCAAGGAGAAAGAGCTCTCTGAAGATGAGGTGCAGGAGAAAGAGGACCGCGTGTGTGAGTGGGGGGAGGAGCAGGATTCAGATCAGGAGGAGGGGTTTGCGGGTGCAGGCCAGGAGGATGCCTCAGACAACCCGTTCCTTTCGGAGAACGAGGGAGATGAAGCCGACGATGGCGATGACAGGATCGAGATGGCTGTTCCAGAGCTCTAGACTAGAATGTACGCTGCTCTGCTGACCTGACATGTTGGTTAGATTAGACACTACAAGGTATTGTATCGAGTTAATAGGATAGGAAGATAGGTAGGTAGGAGGAAGGATGGTAAATAGGTAGGTAGGTTATCAATGTTGTTAATGGCCCGTAGTTTAGTCTCTTCAAATAACTCTATGCAATAAACTAGCATTAGGCAACGGTAAGTCTGATTTCAACAATGGAACTGTGAATACTTCAGACTTATGACTTTGTGGAACCTGAGAAATCAGAGTGCCTTTTTTTCCAGAAATACGCCTCAGACTATTTTTTTTTGGACCCCCCAGAATATCAGACTGGTTTTTTTTTAATAGTCAGCCCTGTGCCCCATGTAAGTTACCATTGAAATATTTTCCCAATTTATTTCATATCACTTGTTTCCACGATTTTCCTTTGACTGCACCGTACATATTATCGATGTCTTTGTTAGTGACCATCCGCTTTTTCCCCAAAACTCGAGCGGTACATATTCCCCAGTTGCGAACCGCGTCGTACTGGGTTCACCTCCCGCACTTTTCGCCAAACAAGCGTGCGACTGTCGTGAGTGGTGGTGACAGCGTCACGTAATGCTCCATGAATCACACCATCCCATCCCATGTCTGGGCGAATGTTACCATACCGAGATCCATGCCGACGAATTCGGCTTCGACCCGCCAAACTGGACTTACCTGGACCAAGCCAAATCCCCGTCAGGGCCAAATCACCAGTCAAATTCTTCCCTTCAATGGCTCAGCCGAACCGAACGAAGAGACTTTGTGCCGAGCCGAAGGACGTGCCCAGGCCAGACAAACCTTGGAGATTATCCCTGAGTCCAAACCAGCAGGCAGCCCGAACCAGACTCAAACCTGGAAAATGCTGGTCGTTGCCAGTGCTATGTGCCGTCGATTACATGGCGAGTGAGCCTTCCCAGTCAGTCCCTTTTTTCCGCAATGGCGATTCCAGAATATCAAGGTCGGCAGCATGAGGCAAATCTCCTAGCTTGCCTTTCTTTCCGGCATTACTGCTGAAACGTGATTCCGTAAGCAGCATCTTTGGAAATCAATGGAACTGATCGCCTCGCAGCTGTCTAGGATCACCACATCCTGCCAGCTGGCCGGCATCCGTCTTACGAGCTGTACGTTAGCGTGTTATTTATTTTGACTGACAACTTAGTGCGACATTATTTATTATTCCTCCGGGCCACGTTATCGTCCTCGAATCAAGTGCGTCGCTCGATATAATCACATGGGTCCCGCCGTGGTGGTGAAGGACCCGGCGAAGATCCGGCAAGAGCGTCCCACTCGCTTACAGTCACAATCCCTCCCATGCACTCACCTTCGCTCACCCCCAGGCGCTCACTCGCACAGTCTGTCGCAAAGTCCTCCCCAGACTCGTTCGCACACGATTTCGCACGTTCACCCGAGTTCGCACAGCAAGACGAGACATCAGCATCGAGGGTGGATTTCGAGTCTGTGTGGTAACAATCTCAATATAGTCACATGGTCTGCGATTTTCTTCGCAGCCTTCCTTTTTCATCTGCTCGGGCATACGAAACTCCACGAACCGGGTAACTCTATCGCGAAGCTTTCACACCTGACTGTAGACGGCGAAATCCAACAAGGGTCTGAGGATAAGAATAAAGTGACCGATACAGAATCTGGGCCGGAAAGCGCGCAAAACGAGGTTCACATCAGCTACGGCGGGGATCGGCTTACAGAACCAACGGTTGAGATAAAAAAGAGATGGCTAGCTGCGAATTCCGAGGACGAAAGGCCCGGAAAATCCGGGAGAGGAAGGACCGAAGGCAGGCACGTGGAGGGAGAAGTTGGAGGGGATAGTTCCGTTCCGATTCCTGGCCGGATTAATAAGGCGGAGGGGACACAAGCGGATGGCGGGAAAGAGGGGCGCGCGGGGAAACAGGAGGAGGAGCGGAAAGAGGAGGACGAGGAGGGGAGTGGTAGCAGTTCTCTGGAAGAGCGGGTGAATGCGATTGACGGCAGTGGGGGAGAGCAAGCGGAGGAGCGTGGGGGAGTAAATGGGAGTGAGGACAGAAGGGAGCACGGGGACTGGGAGGGGGATGGGCGGGAGGAGGATGGGCGGGAGGATGGGCGGGAAGAGGATGGGCGGGAGGAGGATGGGCGGGAGGATGGGCGGGAGGAGCAGCTCGCAATGGTTGGCGCTATGCTGGAGGGTGGGTGGCCGGGGCAGGAGATATCTTGGCGGGATGCGGGAGAGCTGTGGCCTAGGCTTGGCAAAAGGGGGAGTGCTGTGCGGAAAGGAGGATTCGAGGGGAAGGGGGGAAATGAGGGGGAAGGGGAGGTTGAGACGGCAGGGGTAAGTGACCGGGGGAGATTTGACAGTGGCGCTCAGGGGAAGGCGGAAGCGGAAGGGGAGGTTGCGGATGCGGGGGGTTCAGTTGGGGGGAAGGGGGACGAGGAGAGCGACGAAGTGGAGGAGGGGGAGGCGGAGAAAGGGAAGGGGGAAGGGGAAGGGGAAGGGGAAAGGGAAGGGGACATGAAAGTTGAAGGGGATGGGGAGGGGGAAGGGGAAGCGGAGGAAGGGGAAGAAACAAGAATTCAGGGAGTAAGGGGAGAGGTGAGAGTTAGAAGAGGAGGGGAAGGCCTGGGTAGAGTGAAGGCCGGGGGGGATGTGGAAGGCGGGGAGAGTGGTGAGCGAGAGAGGAGGGATGGGGAGGAGGAGGATGGAGAGGGTGGGGAGGAGGAGGGAGAGGGCGGGGAGGAGGAGGGAGAGGGCGGGGAGGAGGAGGGAGAGGATGGAGAAGAGAAGGAAGAGAGTGCAGAGGAGGAGGGTGAGGGTGGGGAGGGCGGGTACGAGGGAGAGGATTACTATGAAAGACGAGGCAAAGAGGACGAGGAGGGCGAGGGGGAAGAAGGGAAGGAGGATGATGGGAAAGAGCTCACGGAGGGGGTTTTAGGTGATGATGAACGGGAGCGAGAAGGGGAAGGGAAAGGGGGACTGGATGATTATGATCTTGGGGAAGAGGTGAAGGGGGAAGAGGAGAAGGGGGAATATGAGAAGGAACTTGTGGAAGGGGGATCAGGGAAAAGGGAAAGAGTTGGCGAAGGGGAAGGGAAAGGGGGGCTCGATGATTATGATATTGGGGAAGAGGGAGAAGAGGAGGATGGGGAGGAGGAGGAGGAGGAGGAGGAGGAGGAGGAGGAGGAGGAGGAGGAGGAGGAGGGTGCGGAGGAAGAAGGGGAGGAGGGAAGCGAGGGGGGCGGTGGGGGGTATAGCAGGAGGAACACTGGGAAGGGTCATGAGGGAGAGTCGGAAGAAGGGGGAGTGGGGGCGAGAAAGAGCAGCAATGTGGGCGCGCGGAGTGTTAAGGAGGCAAAAGGGGACGCAGAGGGGGAAGCGGAGGAAGAAGCGAAGTTTGAGATACAGAAAACAGGGGAGGAGGCGGGGGGAGCAGAGGAGGAGGAACTAGAAGACGATTTGGAAGAAGTGGGATTTGGGGCGGGACGGGGTGGCAGCCGCAGTGGCAGCCGCAGTATGGGCGACCTGGGCAGTCTCATTGACTTGAAGGGAGTGGGTGCAGACAAGGAGGAGGCGGGGGAAGCAGAGGAGGAGCAACTAGACGATGATTTGGAGGAAGCCGGGTTCGGGGCGGGACATGGTGGCAGCCGCAGTATGGGCGATTTTGGCAAGCTTGTTGGGCTGCAGGGAGAGGGTGCAGACAAGGTGCGAAGCAAGCCCAAGGCAAAGCCGGCGAGTGGGAAGGCAAAGAAGAAAAAGAAGGCAGACCGAGACAAGGAGAAGAAAGAGCGGCTGAAGGCTCTGTGGAGGATGCGACATGCAGCAGCAGCAGCAGGAGGAGGAGGAGGAGGAGGAGGAGGAGGAGGAGGAGGAGGAGGAGGAGGAGGAGGAGGAGGAGGAGGAGGAGGAGGAGGAGGAGGAGGAGGAGGAGGAGGAAGAGAAGATGCCTCTGAGCCGCCCTTTGACCCGCCGGAGCCGAGGTGGAGGCCCGACAAGGCGTGTGCCAACGTGGCAGAGATGGGCGAGGCAACAGCTGGCAGCACCGATGTGGCTAGTCTGAAGCTGCGGCGAATGATTGAGCGACACCTGGTGGTGCACGGTGGGTGATGATGCTTCTCGTCCTGCCATGTGCTGGCGTGGCGTGCTCCTCCTCTCCTCTGCACACATCTCTTTGTAGGTCTGTTAACTTCCTTATCCACTATCCCTGGTTTCACCCCCAACTCCCTCTCCCTTGCCCCCTGCCCTCATCTCCTCCCTGTTTTTTTCTCTCACCCCATCATCCTGTGCGCAGCGGGGTTTTGTGTTGGGATATGAGCTGGGCCGAGCTCAGCTCACCCCATCATCCTGTGCGCAGCGGGGTTTTGTGTTGGGATATGAGCTGGGCCGAGCTCAGCTCACCCCATCATCCTGTGCGCAGCGGGGTTTTGTGTTGGGATATGAGCTGGGCCGAGCTCAGCTCACCCCATCATCCTGTGCGCAGCGGGGTTTTGTGTTGGGATATGAGCTGGGCCGAGCTCAGCTCACCCCATCATCCTGTGCGCAGCGGGGTTTTGTGTTGGGATATGAGCTGGGCCGAGCTCAGCTCACCCCATCATCCTGTGCGCAGCGGGGTTTTGTGTTGGGATATGAGCTGGGCCGAGCTCAGCTCACCCCATCATCCTGTGCGCAGCGGGGTTTTGTGTTGGGATATGAGCTGGGCCGAGCTCAGCTCACCCCATCATCCTGTGCGCAGCGGGGTTTTGTGTTGGGATATGAGCTGGGCCGAGCTCAGCTCACCCCATCATCCTGTGCGCAAGCACGAGGAGCTCCTGTGTTTTCACGAGAAGCTGGGGTACGACCTCTACAAAATCGAGGTGCTGCAGGGTGTTTTTGAGAATTCTCAAAAACTCCTGTGTTGGGGCACGAGAAGCTGGGGTACGACCTCCACAAAATCGAATTTTGAGTCGACTCAAAATTCGACTTACTACATGTGCATTTTTCTTTTGAGAATTCCCGAAAGTAAAATCCACATAGCGCAAGCAGGAGAATCTGGGGTACGACATTTACAAAATCCTCACAGGCCCTCCCTCTCTCTGTCTTCCCTCTCTCTTCCTTCCCTCTGTCTTCTCTCCTCTCTCTTCCTTCCTGTGCCTTCCCCCCGCTGACTTCCCTCCTGTCTCTTCCCTCCCTCCCGACTCCCTGTCCCTGCAGGTGCCTCTGCCCTGCGTGCGCTGCCGGCTCACGAGTTTTGTCAGAGGAGCTTTGTGTTGGGATATGGCAAGCACGAGGGGCTAGGGTAGGGATCAACCTGTACAAGATCCTCACTGCACCACCCACTCGCGTTTCCCCTTGTCTCTCCTCCCTCCTGTCTCTTCCCTTCTTTCTCTTCGCTCCTGTTTCCTCCCCTCTCTCTCTTCCCTCCTCTCTCCCCCCTCCTCCCTACCAGGCGCCTCTGCCCTGCGTGCGCTGCCGGCTCACGAGTTTTGTCAGAGGAGCTTTGTGTTGGGCTATGGCAAGCACGAGGGCTTAGGCAACAACCTGTATAAGATCCTCACGGCTCCAGCTCTTGCTCTCATGCTCAACCGCTCCATTATCGTGGGCGAGAACTAGTGAGTTGGTGGGGTGTTGCAGGGTGGGCTGCGGTGAGGTACGGTGGGGTCTGGTGGGGTGGGCTGTGGTGAATCGCGGTGAGGTGGGGAACACCCTCTACAAGATCCTCACAGGCCTGGCTCTTGCTCTCATGCTCAACCACTCTATTATCGTGGGCGAGGACTAGTGAGTGATCTGGGTTAGATGTGGTGGGGCGTGGTGGGCTGTGGTCGGGTGTGGTGGGGTGGACTGCGGTGAAGTGTGGCAGGGTCTGGTGGGGTGTGCAGTGGTGAAGTGTGGTGGGCTGGGAAACAATGTCTACAAGATCTTCACAGCCCCGGCTCTTCCTCTCATGCTCAACCACTCTATCATCGTGGGCGAGAACTAGTGAGTGATGTGGTAAGGTGCGGTGGTGTGGGCTGCGGTGAAGTGTGGCGGGGTCTGGTGGGGTGGGCAGTGGTTATGTGTGGTGGGCTGGGGAACAACCTCTCTGAGGTCCTCACAGCCCCGGCTCTTGCTCTCATGCTCACCCGCTCTGTTATTTTCACCGACAACTGGTGAGTTGGTGGGGTGTTGTAGGGTGGGATGTGGTGAGGTGCAGTGGGGTGCGGTGGGGGAACAATCTCTACAAGATCCTCACGGCTCCAGCTCTGGCTCTCATGCTCGACTGTTCCATCAATGTGGGAGAGAAAGTGTGAGTCATGATTGCGAGGCGTGGTGGGGTGTGGTGGGGTGTGGTGGGGTGTGGTGGGCTCACTTGTCCAGCCCGCGTTTTTCCCCTGTGCTTCCCACCGTCCTCCTTTTCCTTACCCCCCCAGTGGCACGCGGCCACTGATGGAGAGCAACAAGACGGTGGGGCAGCGGCTATGAAAGGACTATCTCGCCTTCTCCCCAGAAGTATTCTCCATGCTCGAGTTGAGGCACCTCTGGCACCACCACACGGGCAACTGCTGCTGCCGCTGCTGACCACCGGTCGACACCACTCACCACCCATCTCTGCCTCTCCCCTCTCGTCCCAACCTCCCTCCAATCATTCCTCCACCCCCAGTGGCACGCGGCCACTGATGGAGAGCAACAAGACGGTGGGTCAGAGGCTGTGGAAGGACTATCTCGCCTTCTCCCCAGAAGTATTCTCCATGCTCGAGTTGAGGCACCTCTGGTATCAGCATGACTGCGAGCGGCGCTACAGGCGGCCTCTGGTGGTCAGGACGGACTCTTTTGCCAACCGGGCAAGATCACGCACTATGTGTGATGATTGGTCCACGTGGAGGGAACCCATCATCTGGTGAGTGCATGCTAGAGAGCATCTCTTTGAGCAGCACTTTTGAGAATTCTCAAAAGCACCATCATCGTTGCTAGAGAGCATCTCTTTGAGCGGTGCTACAGGCTGCTTCTAGTTGCCAACCGGGCAAGATCACGCACGCTGTGTGATGATTGGTCCACGTGGAAGGAGCCCATGTGTGATGAGTCGATTCTCTAGTCGATTTTTTAGTCGACTCATCACACGTGAATGGAGCCCATTATGTTTTTTGAGAATTCTCAAACAGCATTTTCTAGTCGACTCATCACACGTGGATGGAGCCCATTATCTCGCGAGCCACACCAGTGAGTGAGAGCACCCAGTGGAATGAAATTGTTGCATTCGATTGGTTCACAGGGAAGAAACGTACGGGGAAAGCATGCGTTTCATTCCATGAAAAAAAAGAGCATGATTAAGTACCGCACTAGATATGGTGATTTTCTATTTCTTGGGAAATCATGCGTTTCATTCCATCCTTTCCCCTCTTCTTCTCCCTTCCCCTCACCGCCCTCCCTCTTCTTCCCCTCACCGCCCTCCCTCTTCTTCCCCTCACCGCCCTCCCTCTTCTTCCCCTCACCGCCCTCCCTCTTCTTCCCCTCACCGCCCTCCCTCTTCTTCCCCTCACCGCCCTCCTCTTCTTCCCCTCACCGCCCTCCCTCTTCTTCCCCTCACCGCCCTCCCTCTTCTTCCCCTCACCGCCCTCCCTCTTCTTCCCCTCACCGCCCTCCCTCTTCTTCCCCTCACCGCCCTCCGTCTTCTTCCCCTCACCGCCCTCCCTCTTCTTCCCCTCACCGCCCTCCCTCTTCTTCCCCTCACCGCCCTCCCTCTTCTTCCCTCACCGCCCTCCCTCTTCTTCCCCCTCACCGCCCTCCCTCTTCTTCCCCTCACCGCCCTCCCTCTTCTTCCCCTCACCGCCCTCCCTCTTCTTCCCCTCACCGCCCTCCCTCTTCTTCCCCTCACCGCCCTCCCTCTTCTTCCCTCACCGCCCTCCCTCTTCTTCCCCTCACCGCCCTCCCTCTTCTTCCCCTCACCGCCCTCCCTCTTCTTCCCCTCACCGCCCTCCCTCTTCTTCCCCTCACCGCCCTCCTCTTCTTCCCCTCACCGCCCTCCCTCTTCTTCCCCTCACCGCCCTCCCTCTTCTTCCCCTCACCGCCCTCCCTCTTCTTCCCCTCACCGCCCTCCCTCTTCTTCCCCTCACCGCCCTCCCTCTTCTTCCCCTCACCGCCCTCCCTCTTCTTCCCTCACCGCCCTCCCTCTTCTTCCCCTCACCGCCCTCCCTCTTCTTCCCCTCACCGCCCTCCCTCTTCTTCCCCTCACCGCCCTCCGTCTTCTTCCCCTCACCGCCCTCCCTCTTCTTCCCTCACCCGCCCTCCCTCTTCTTCCCTCACCGCCCTCCCTCTTCTTCCCCTCACCGCCCTCCCTCTTCTTCCCCTCACCGCCCTCCCTCTTCTTCCCCTCACCGCCCTCCCTCTTCTTCCCCTCACCGCCCTCCCTCTTCTTCCCTCACCGCCCTCCCTCTTCTTCCCCTCACCGCCCTCCCTCTTCTTCCCCTCACCGCCCCTCCTCTTCTTCCCCTCACCGCCCTCCCTCTTCTTCCCCTCAACCGCCCTCCCTCTTCTTCCCCTCACCCCTCCGTCTTCTTCCCCACCGCCTCCCTCTTCTTCCCTCACCGCCCTCCCTCTTCTTCCCCTCACCGCCCTCCCTCTTCTTCCCCTCACCGCCCTCCCTCTTCTTCCCCTCACCGCCCTCCCTCTTCTTCCCCTCACCGCCCTCCCTCTTCTTCCCCTCACCGCCCCTCCCTCTTCTTCCCCTCACCGCCCTCCCTCTTCTTCCCTCACCGCCCTCCCTCTTCTTCCCCTCACCGCCCTCCCTCTTCTTCCCCTCACCGCCCTCCCTCTTCTTCCCCTCACCGCCCTCCCTCTTCTTCCCCTCACCGCCCTCCCTCTTCTTCCCCTCACCGCCCTCCCTCTTCTTCCCCTCACCGCCCTCCCTCTTCTTCCCTCACCGCCCTCCCTCTTCTTCCCCTCACCGCCCTCCCTCTTCTTCCCCTCACCGCCCTCCCTCTTCTTCCCCTCACCGCCCTCCCTCTTCTTCCCCTCACCGCCCTCCCTCTTCTTCCCCTCACCGCCCTCCCTCTTCTTCCCCTCACCGCCCTCCCTCTTCTTCCCCTCACCGCCCTCCCTCTTCTTCCCCTCACCGCCCTCCCTCTTCTTCCCCTCACCGCCCTCCCTCTTCTTCCCCTCACCGCCCTCCCTCTTCTTCCCTCACCGCCCTCCCTCTTCTTCCCCTCACCGCCCTCCCTCATCTTCCCCTCACCGCCCTCCCTCATCTTCCCCTCACCGCCCTCATCTTCCCCTCACCGCCCTCCCTCATCTTCCCCTCACCGCCCTCATCTTCCCCTCACCGCCCTCCCTCATCTTCCCCTCACCGCCCTCATCTTCCCCTCACCGCCCTCCCTCGTCTTCCCCTCACCACCCTCCCTCATCTTCCCCTCACCGCCCTCCCTCATCTTCCCCTCACCGCCCTCCCTCTTCTTCCCCTCACCGCCCTCCCTCTTCTTCCCCTCACCGCCCTCCCTCATCTTCCCCTCACCGCCCTCCCTCATCTTCCCCTCACCGCCCTCATCTTCCCCTCACCGCCCTCCCTCATCTTCCCCTCACCGCCCTCATCTTCCCCTCACCGCCCTCCCTCATCTTCCCCTCACCGCCCTCCCTCTTCTTCCCCTCACCGCCCTCCCTCTTCTTCCCCTCACCGCCCTCCCTCTTCTTCCCCTCACCGCCCTCCCTCTTCTTCCCCTCACCGCCCTCCCTCATCTTCCGCTCACCGCCCTCCCTCATCTTCCCCTCACCGCCCTCATCTTCCCCTCACCGCCCTCCCTCATCTTCCCCTCACCGCCCTCATCTTCCCCTCACCGCCCTCCCTCATCTTCCCCTCACCGCCCTCCCTCATCTTCCCCTCACCGCCCTCATCTTCCCCTCACCGCCCTCCCTCATCTTCCCCTCACCGCCCTCATCTTCCCCTCACCGCCCTCCCTCATCTTCCCCTCACCGCCCTCCCTCATCTTCCCCTCACCGCCCTCATCTTCCCCTCACCGCCCTCCCTCATCTTCCCCTCACCGCCCTCATCTTCCCCTCACCGCCCTCCCTCATCTTCCCCTCACCGCCCTCATCTTCCCCTCACCGCCCTCCCTCATCTTCCCCTCACCGCCCTCCCTCTTCTTCCCCTCACCGCCCTCCCTCATCTTCCCCTCACCGCCCTCCCTCATCTTCCCCTCACCGCCCTCATCTTCCCCTCACCGCCCTCCCTCATCTTCCCCTCACCGCCCTCCCTCTTCTTCCCCTCACCGCCCTCCCTCTTCTTCCCCTCACCGCCCTCCCTCTTCTTCCCCTCACCGCCCTCCCTCTTCTTCCCTCACCGCCCTCCCTCATCTTCCGCTCACCGCCCTCCCTCATCTTCCCCTCACCGCCCTCATCTTCCCCTCACCGCCCTCCCTCATCTTCCCCTCACCGCCCTCATCTTCCCCTCACCGCCCTCCCTCATCTTCCCCTCACCGCCCTCATCTTCCCCTCACCGCCCTCCCTCTTCTTCCCCTCACCGCCCTCATCTTCCCCTCACCGCCCTCCCTCATCTTCCCCTCACCGCCCTCATCTTCCCCTCACCGCCCTCCCTCATCTTCCCCTCACCGCCCTCCCTCATCTTCCCCTCACCGCCCTCCCTCATCTTCCCCTCATCGCCCTCCCTCTTCTTCCCCTCACCGCCCTCCCTCTTCTTCCCCTCACCGCCCTCCCTCATCTTCCCCTCACCGCCCTCCCTCATCTTCCCCTCACCGCCCTCATCTTCCCCTCACCGCCCTCCCTCATCTTCCCCTCACCGCCCTCATCTTCCCCTCACCGCCCTCCCTCATCTTCCCCTCACCGCCCTCCCTCTTCTTCCCCTCACCGCCCTCCCTCATCTTCCCCTCACCGCCCTCCCTCTTCTTCCCCTCACCGCCCTCCCTCATCTTCCCCTCACCGCCCTCCCTCATCTTCCCCTCACCGCCCTCATCTTCCCCTCACCGCCCTCCCTCATCTTCCCCTCACCGCCCTCCCTCTTCTTCCCCTCACCGCCCTCCCTCTTCTTCGCCTCACCGCCCTCCCTCTTCTTCCCCTCACCGCCCTCCCTCTTCTTCCCCTCACCGCCCTCCCTCTTCTTCCCCTCACCGCCCTCCCTCATCTTCCCCTCACCGCCCTCCCTCTTCTTCCCCTCACCGCCCTCCCTCTTCTTCCCCTCACCGCCCTCCCTCTTCTTCCCCTCACCGCCCTCCCTCTTCTTCCCCTCACCGCCCTCCCTCATCTTCCCCTCACCGCCCTCCCTCATCTTCCCCTCACCGCCCTCATCTTCCCCTCACCGCCCTCCCTCATCTTCCCCTCACCGCCCTCATCTTCCCCTCACCGCCCTCCCTCATCTTCCCCTCACCGCCCTCATCTTCCCCTCACCGCCCTCCCTCGTCTTCCCCTCACCACCCTCCCTCATCTTCCCCTCACCGCCCTCCCTCATCTTCCCCTCACCGCCCTCCCTCTTCTTCCCCTCACCGCCCTCCCTCTTCTTCCCCTCACCGCCCTCCCTCATCTTCCCCTCACCGCCCTCCCTCATCTTCCCCTCACCGCCCTCATCTTCCCCTCACCGCCCTCCCTCATCTTCCCCTCACCGCCCTCATCTTCCCCTCACCGCCCTCCCTCATCTTCCCCTCACCGCCCTCCCTCTTCTTCCCCTCACCGCCCTCCCTCTTCTTCCCCTCACCGCCCTCCCTCTTCTTCCCCTCACCGCCCTCCCTCTTCTTCCCCTCACCGCCCTCCCTCATCTTCCGCTCACCGCCCTCCCTCATCTTCCCCTCACCGCCCTCATCTTCCCCTCACCGCCCTCCCTCATCTTCCCCTCACCGCCCTCATCTTCCCCTCACCGCCCTCCCTCATCTTCCCCTCACCGCCCTCCCTCATCTTCCCCTCACCGCCCTCATCTTCCCCTCACCGCCCTCCCTCATCTTCCCCTCACCGCCCTCATCTTCCCCTCACCGCCCTCCCTCATCTTCCCCTCACCGCCCTCCCTCATCTTCCCCTCACCGCCCTCATCTTCCCCTCACCGCCCTCCCTCATCTTCCCCTCACCGCCCTCATCTTCCCCTCACCGCCCTCCCTCATCTTCCCCTCACCGCCCTCATCTTCCCCTCACCGCCCTCCCTCATCTTCCCCTCACCGCCCTCCCTCTTCTTCCCCTCACCGCCCTCCCTCATCTTCCCCTCACCGCCCTCCCTCATCTTCCCCTCACCGCCCTCATCTTCCCCTCACCGCCCTCCCTCATCTTCCCCTCACCGCCCTCCCTCTTCTTCCCCTCACCGCCCTCCCTCTTCTTCCCCTCACCGCCCTCCCTCTTCTTCCCCTCACCGCCCTCCCTCTTCTTCCCCTCACCGCCCTCCCTCATCTTCCGCTCACCGCCCTCCCTCATCTTCCCCTCACCGCCCTCATCTTCCCCTCACCGCCCTCCCTCATCTTCCCCTCACCGCCCTCATCTTCCCCTCACCGCCCTCCCTCATCTTCCCCTCACCGCCCTCATCTTCCCCTCACCGCCCTCCCTCATCTTCCCCTCACCGCCCTCATCTTCCCCTCACCGCCCTCCCTCATCTTCCCCTCACCGCCCTCATCTTCCCCTCACCGCCCTCCCTCATCTTCCCCTCACCGCCCTCCCTCATCTTCCCCTCACCGCCCTCCCTCATCTTCCCCTCATCGCCCTCCCTCTTCTTCCCCTCACCGCCCTCCCTCTTCTTCCCCTCACCGCCCTCCCTCATCTTCCCCTCACCGCCCTCCCTCATCTTCCCCTCACCGCCCTCATCTTCCCCTCACCGCCCTCCCTCATCTTCCCCTCACCGCCCTCATCTTCCCCTCACCGCCCTCCCTCATCTTCCCCTCACCGCCCTCCCTCTTCTTCCCCTCACCGCCCTCCCTCTTCTTCCCCTCACCGCCCTCCCTCTTCTTCCCCTCACCTCCCTCCCTCATCTTCCCCTCACCGCCCTCCCTCATCTTCCCCTCACCGCCCTCATCTTCCCCTCACCGCCCTCCCTCATCTTCCCCTCACCGCCCTCATCTTCCCCTCACCGCCCTCCCTCATCTTCCCCTCACCGCCCTCATCTTCCCCTCACCGCCCTCCCTCATCTTCCCCTCACCGCCCTCATCTTCCCCTCACCGCCCTCCCTCATCTTCCCCTCACCGCCCTCATCTTCCCCTCACCGCCCTCCCTCTTCTTCCCCTCACCGCCCTCCCTCTTCTTCCCCTCACCGCCCTCCCTCATCTTCCCCTCACCGCCCTCCCTCATCTTCCCCTCACCGCCCTCATCTTCCCTCACCGCCCTCCCTCATCTTCCCCTCACCGCCCTCATCTTCCCCTCACCGCCCTCCCTCATCTTCCCCTCACCGCCCTCCCTCTTCTTCCCCTCACCGCCCTCCCTCATCTTCCCCTCACCGCCCTCATCTTCCCCTCACCGCCCTCCCTCATCTTCCCCTCACCGCCCTCATCTTCCCCTCACCGCCCTCCCTCATCTTCCCCTCACCGCCCTCCCTCTTCTTCCCCTCACCGCCCTCCCTCTTCTTCCCCTCACCGCCCTCCCTCATCTTCCCCTCACCGCCCTCATCTTCCCCTCACCGCCCTCCCTCATCTTCCCCTCACCGCCCTCATCTTCCCCTCACCGCCCTCCCTCATCTTCCCCTCACCGCCCTCATCTTCCCCTCACCGCCCTCCCTCATCTTCCCCTCACCGCCCTCATCTTCCCCTCACCGCCCTCCCTCTTCTTCCCCTCACCGCCCTCCCTCTTCTTCCCCTCACCGCCCTCCCTCATCTTCCCCTCACCGCCCTCCCTCATCTTCCCCTCACCGCCCTCATCTTCCCCTCACCGCCCTCCCTCATCTTCCCCTCACCGCCCTCATCTTCCCCTCACCGCCCTCCCTCATCTTCCCCTCACCGCCCTCATCTTCCCCTCACCGCCCTCCCTCATCTTCCCCTCACCGCCCTCATCTTCCCCTCACCGCCCTCCCTCATCTTCCCCTCACCGCCCTCATCTTCCCCTCACCGCCCTCCCTCTTCTTCCCCTCACCGCCCTCATCTTCCCCTCACCGCCCTCCCTCATCTTCCCCTCACCGCCCTCCCTCATCTTCCCCCTCACCGCCCTCATCTTCCCCTCACCGCCCTCCCTCATCTTCCCCTCACCGCCCTCATCTTCCCCTCACCGCCCTCCCTCATCTTCCCCTCACCGCCCTCCCTCTTCTTCCCCTCACCGCCCTCCCTCTTCTTCCCCTCACCGCCCTCCCTCTTCTTCCCCTCACCTCCCTCCCTCTTCTTCCCCTCACCGCCCTCCCTCTTCTTCCCCTCACCGCCCTCCCTCTTCTTCCCCTCACCGCCCTCCCTCATCTTCCCCTCACCGCCCTCCTCCCTCTTCTTCCCCTCACCGCCCTCCCTCTTCTTCCCCTCACCGCCCTCCCTCATCTTCCCCCTCACCGCCCTCCCTCATCTTCCCCTCACCGCCCTCCCTCATCTTCCCCTCACCGCCCTCATCTTCCCCCCCTCACCGCCCTCCCTCATCTTCCCCTCACCGCCCTCATCTTCCCCTCACCGCCCTCCCTCATCTTCCCCTCACCGCCCTCATCTTCCCCTCACCGCCCTCCCTCATCTTCCCCTCACCGCCCTCATCTTCAACTCACCGCCCTCCCTCATCTTCCCCTCACCGCCCTCCCTCATCTTCCCCTCACCGCCCTCCCTCATCTTCCCCTCACCGCCCTCCCTCTACTTCCCCTCACCGCCCTCCCTCTTCTTCCCCTCACCGCCCTCCCTCATCTTCCCCTCACCGCCCTCCCTCATCTTCCCCTCACCGCCCTCATCTTCCCCTCACCGCCCTCCCTCATCTTCCCCTCACCGCCCTCCCTCATCTTCCCCTCACCGCCCTCCCTCATCTTCCCCTCACCGCCCTCCCTCTTCTTCCCCTCACCGCCCTCCCTCTTCTTCCCCTCACCGCCCACCCTCATCTTCCCCTCACCGCCCTCCCTCTTCTTCCCCTCACCGCCCTCCCTCATCTTCCCCTCACCGCCCTCATCTTCCCCTCACTGCCCTCCCTCATCTTCCCCTCACCGCCCTCATCTTCCCCTCACCGCCCTCCCTCTTCTTCCCCTCACCGCCCTCCCTCTTCTTCCCCTCACCGCCCTCCCTCTTCTTCCCCTCACCGCCCTCCCTCTTCTTCCCCTCACCGCCCTCCCTCTTCTTCCCCTCACCGCCCTCCCTCTTCTTCCCCTCACCGCCCTCCCTCTTCTTCCCCTCACTGCCCTCCCTCTTCTTCCCCTCACCGCCCTCCCTCTTCTTCCCTCACCGCCCTCCCTCTTCTTCCCCTCACCGCCCTCCCTCTTCTTCCCCTCACCGCCCTCCCTCTTCTTCCCCTCACCGCCCTCCCTCTTCTTCCCCTCACCGCCCTCCCTCTTCTTCCCCTCACCGCCCTCCCTCTTCTTCGCCTCACCGCCCTCCCTCTTCTTCCCCTCACCGCCCTCCCTCTTCTTCCCCTCACCGCCCTCCCTCTTCTTCCCCTCACCGCCCTCCCTCATCTTCCCCTCACCGCCCTCCCTCTTCTTCCCCTCACCGCCCTCCCTCTTCTTCCCCTCACCGCCCTCCCTCTTCTTCCCCTCACCGCCCTCCCTCTTCTTCCCCTCACCGCCCTCCCTCATCTTCCCCTCACCGCCCTCCCTCATCTTCCCCTCACCGCCCTCATCTTCCCCTCACCGCCCTCCCTCATCTTCCCCTCACCGCCCTCATCTTCCCCTCACCGCCCTCCCTCATCTTCCCCTCACCGCCCTCATCTTCCCCTCACCGCCCTCCCTCGTCTTCCCCTCACCACCCTCCCTCATCTTCCCCTCACCGCCCTCCCTCATCTTCCCCTCACCGCCCTCCCTCTTCTTCCCCTCACCGCCCTCCCTCTTCTTCCCCTCACCGCCCTCCCTCATCTTCCCCTCACCGCCCTCCCTCATCTTCCCCTCACCGCCCTCATCTTCCCCTCACCGCCCTCCCTCATCTTCCCCTCACCGCCCTCATCTTCCCTCACCGCCCTCCCTCATCTTCCCCTCACCGCCCTCCCTCTTCTTCCCCTCACCGCCCTCCCTCTTCTTCCCCTCACCGCCCTCCCTCTTCTTCCCTCACCGCCCTCCCTCTTCTTCCCCTCACCGCCCTCCCTCATCTTCCGCTCACCGCCCTCCCTCATCTTCCCCTCACCGCCCTCATCTTCCCCTCACCGCCCTCCCTCATCTTCCCCTCACCGCCCTCATCTTCCCCTCACCGCCCTCCCTCATCTTCCCCTCACCGCCCTCCCTCATCTTCCCCTCACCGCCCTCATCTTCCCCTCACCGCCCTCCCTCATCTTCCCCTCACCGCCCTCATCTTCCCCTCACCGCCCTCCCTCATCTTCCCCTCACCGCCCTCCCTCATCTTCCCCTCACCGCCCTCATCTTCCCCTCACCGCCCTCCCTCATCTTCCCCTCACCGCCCTCATCTTCCCCTCACCGCCCTCCCTCATCTTCCCCTCACCGCCCTCATCTTCCCCTCACCGCCCTCCCTCATCTTCCCCTCACCGCCCTCCCTCTTCTTCCCCTCACCGCCCTCCCTCATCTTCCCCTCACCGCCCTCCCTCATCTTCCCCTCACCGCCCTCATCTTCCCCTCACCGCCCTCCCTCATCTTCCCCTCACCGCCCTCCCTCTTCTTCCCCTCACCGCCCTCCCTCTTCTTCCCCTCACCGCCCTCCCTCTTCTTCCCCTCACCGCCCTCCCTCTTCTTCCCCTCACCGCCCTCCCTCATCTTCCGCTCACCGCCCTCCCTCATCTTCCCCTCACCGCCCTCATCTTCCCCTCACCGCCCTCCCTCATCTTCCCCTCACCGCCCTCATCTTCCCCTCACCGCCCTCCCTCATCTTCCCCTCACCGCCCTCCCTCATCTTCCCCTCACCGCCCTCATCTTCCCCTCACCGCCCTCCCTCATCTTCCCCTCACCGCCCTCATCTTCCCCTCACCGCCCTCCCTCATCTTCCCCTCACCGCCCTCATCTTCCCCTCACCGCCCTCCCTCATCTTCCCCTCACCGCCCTCCCTCATCTTCCCCTCACCGCCCTCCCTCATCTTCCCCTCACCGCCCTCCCTCTTCTTCCCCTCACCGCCCTCCCTCTTCTTCCCCTCACCGCCCTCCCTCATCTTCCCCTCACCGCCCTCCCTCATCTTCCCCTCACCGCCCTCATCTTCCCCTAACCGCCCTCCCTCATCTTCCCCTCACCGCCCTCATCTTCCCCTCACCGCCCTCCCTCATCTTCCCCTCACCGCCCTCCCTCTTCTTCCCCTCACCGCCCTCCCTCTTCTTCCCCTCACCGCCCTCCCTCTTCTTCCCCTCACCTCCCTCCCTCATCTTCCCCTCACCGCCCTCCCTCATCTTCCCCTCACCGCCCTCATCTTCCCCTCACCGCCCTCCCTCATCTTCCCCTCACCGCCCTCATCTTCCCTCACCGCCCTCCCTCATCTTCCCCTCACCGCCCTCATCTTCCCCTCACCGCCCTCCCTCATCTTCCCCTCACCGCCCTCATCTTCCCCTCACCGCCCTCCCTCATCTTCCCCTCACCGCCCTCATCTTCCCCTCACCGCCCTCCCTCTTCTTCCCCTCACCGCCCTCCCTCTTCTTCCCCTCACCGCCCTCCCTCATCTTCCCCTCACCGCCCTCCCTCATCTTCCCCTCACCGCCCTCATCTTCCCCTCACCGCCCTCCCTCATCTTCCCCTCACCGCCCTCATCTTCCCCTCACCGCCCTCCCTCATCTTCCCCTCACCGCCCTCCCTCTTCTTCCCCTCACCGCCCTCCCTCATCTTCCCCTCACCGCCCTCATCTTCCCCTCACCGCCCTCCCTCATCTTCCCCTCACCGCCCTCATCTTCCCCTCACCGCCCTCCCTCATCTTCCCCTCACCGCCCTCCCTCTTCTTCCCCTCACCGCCCTCCCTCTTCTTCCCCTCACCGCCCTCCCTCATCTTCCCCTCACCGCCCTCATCTTCCCCTCACCGCCCTCCCTCATCTTCCCCTCACCGCCCTCATCTTCCCCTCACCGCCCTCCCTCATCTTCCCCTCACCGCCCTCATCTTCCCCTCACCGCCCTCCCTCATCTTCCCCTCACCGCCCTCATCTTCCCTCACCGCCCTCCCTCTTCTTCCCCTCACCGCCCTCCCTCTTCTTCCCCTCACCGCCCTCCCTCATCTTCCCCTCACCGCCCTCCCTCATCTTCCCCTCACCGCCCTCATCTTCCCCTCACCGCCCTCCCTCATCTTCCCCTCACCGCCCTCATCTTCCCCTCACCGCCCTCCCTCATCTTCCCCTCACCGCCCTCATCTTCCCCTCACCGCCCTCCCTCATCTTCCCCTCACCGCCCTCATCTTCCCCTCACCGCCCTCCCTCATCTTCCCCTCACCGCCCTCATCTTCCCCTCACCGCCCTCCCTCTTCTTCCCCTCACCGCCCTCATCTTCCCCTCACCGCCCTCCCTCATCTTCCCCTCACCGCCCTCCCTCATCTTCCCCTCACCGCCCTCATCTTCCCCTCACCGCCCTCCCTCATCTTCCCCTCACCGCCCTCATCTTCCCCTCACCGCCCTCCCTCATCTTCCCCTCACCGCCCTCCCTCATCTTCCCCTCACCGCCCTCATCTTCCCCTCACCGCCCTCCCTCATCTTCCCCTCACCGCCCTCATCTTCCCCTCACCGCCCTCCCTCATCTTCCCCTCACCGCCCTCATCTTCCCCTCACCGCCCTCCCTCATCTTCCCCTCACCGCCCTCCCTCTTCTTCCCCTCACCGCCCTCCCTCATCTTCCCCTCACCGCCCTCCCTCATCTTCCCCTCACCGCCCTCATCTTCCCCTCACCGCCCTCCCTCATCTTCCCCTCACCGCCCTCCCTCTTCTTCCCCTCACCGCCCTCCCTCTTCTTCCCCTCACCGCCCTCCCTCTTCTTCCCCTCACCGCCCTCCCTCTTCTTCCCCTCACCGCCCTCCCTCATCTTCCGCTCACCGCCCTCCCTCATCTTCCCCTCACCGCCCTCATCTTCCCCTCACCGCCCTCCCTCATCTTCCCCTCACCGCCCTCATCTTCCCCTCACCGCCCTCCCTCATCTTCCCCTCACCGCCCTCCCTCATCTTCCCCTCACCGCCCTCATCTTCCCCTCACCGCCCTCCCTCATCTTCCCCTCACCGCCCTCATCTTCCCCTCACCGCCCTCCCTCATCTTCCCCTCACCGCCCTCATCTTCCCCTCACCGCCCTCCCTCATCTTCCCCTCACCGCCCTCCCTCATCTTCCCCTCACCGCCCTCCCTCATCTTCCCCTCACCGCCCTCCCTCTTCTTCCCCTCACCGCCCTCCCTCTTCTTCCCCTCACCGCCCTCCCTCATCTTCCCCTCACCGCCCTCCCTCATCTTCCCCTCACCGCCCTCATCTTCCCCTAACCGCCCTCCCTCATCTTCCCCTCACCGCCCTCATCTTCCCCTCACCGCCCTCCCTCATCTTCCCCTCACCGCCCTCCCTCTTCTTCCCCTCACCGCCCTCCCTCTTCTTCCCCTCACCGCCCTCCCTCTTCTTCCCCTCACCTCCCTCCCTCATCTTCCCCTCACCGCCCTCCCTCATCTTCCCCTCACCGCCCTCATCTTCCCCTCACCGCCCTCCCTCATCTTCCCCTCACCGCCCTCATCTTCCCCTCACCGCCCTCCCTCATCTTCCCCTCACCGCCCTCATCTTCCCCTCACCGCCCTCCCTCATCTTCCCCTCACCGCCCTCATCTTCCCCTCACCGCCCTCCCTCATCTTCCCCTCACCGCCCTCATCTTCCCCTCACCGCCCTCCCTCTTCTTCCCCTCACCGCCCTCCCTCTTCTTCCCCTCACCGCCCTCCCTCATCTTCCCCTCACCGCCCTCCCTCATCTTCCCCTCACCGCCCTCATCTTCCCCTCACCGCCCTCCCTCATCTTCCCCTCACCGCCCTCATCTTCCCCTCACCGCCCTCCCTCATCTTCCCCTCACCGCCCTCCCTCTTCTTCCCCTCACCGCCCTCCCTCATCTTCCCCTCACCGCCCTCATCTTCCCCTCACCGCCCTCCCTCATCTTCCCCTCACCGCCCTCATCTTCCCCTCACCGCCCTCCCTCATCTTCCCCTCACCGCCCTCCCTCTTCTTCCCCTCACCGCCCTCCCTCTTCTTCCCCTCACCGCCCTCCCTCATCTTCCCCTCACCGCCCTCATCTTCCCCTCACCGCCCTCCCTCATCTTCCCCTCACCGCCCTCATCTTCCCCTCACCGCCCTCCCTCATCTTCCCCTCACCGCCCTCATCTTCCCCTCACCGCCCTCCCTCATCTTCCCCTCACCGCCCTCATCTTCCCCTCACCGCCCTCCCTCTTCTTCCCCTCACCGCCCTCCCTCTTCTTCCCCTCACCGCCCTCCCTCATCTTCCCCTCACCGCCCTCCCTCATCTTCCCCTCACCGCCCTCATCTTCCCCTCACCGCCCTCCCTCATCTTCCCCTCACCGCCCTCATCTTCCCCTCACCGCCCTCCCTCATCTTCCCCTCACCGCCCTCATCTTCCCCTCACCGCCCTCCCTCATCTTCCCCTCACCGCCCTCATCTTCCCCTCACCGCCCTCCCTCATCTTCCCCTCACCGCCCTCATCTTCCCCTCACCGCCCTCCCTCTTCTTCCCCTCACCGCCCTCATCTTCCCCTCACCGCCCTCCCTCATCTTCCCCTCACCGCCCTCCCTCATCTTCCCCTCACCGCCCTCATCTTCCCCTCACCGCCCTCCCTCATCTTCCCCTCACCGCCCTCATCTTCCCCTCACCGCCCTCCCTCATCTTCCCCTCACCGCCCTCCCTCTTCTTCCCCTCACCGCCCTCCCTCTTCTTCCCCTCACCGCCCTCCCTCTTCTTCCCCTCACCTCCCTCCCTCTTCTTCCCCTCACCGCCCTCCCTCTTCTTCCCCTCACCGCCCTCCCTCTTCTTCCCCTCACCGCCCTCCCTCATCTTCCCCTCACCGCCCTCCTCCCTCTTCTTCCCCTCACCGCCCTCCCTCTTCTTCCCCTCACCGCCCTCCCTCATCTTCCCCTCACCGCCCTCCCTCATCTTCCCCTCACCGCCCTCCCTCATCTTCCCCTCACCGCCCTCATCTTCCCCCCCTCACCGCCCTCCCTCATCTTCCCCTCACCGCCCTCATCTTCCCCTCACCGCCCTCCCTCATCTTCCCCTCACCGCCCTCATCTTCCCCTCACCGCCCTCCCTCATCTTCCCCTCACCGCCCTCATCTTCAACTCACCGCCCTCCCTCATCTTCCCCTCACCGCCCTCCCTCATCTTCCCCTCACCGCCCTCCCTCATCTTCCCCTCACCGCCCTCCCTCTACTTCCCCTCACCGCCCTCCCTCTTCTTCCCCTCACCGCCCTCCCTCATCTTCCCCTCACCGCCCTCCCTCATCTTCCCCTCACCGCCCTCATCTTCCCCTCACCGCCCTCCCTCATCTTCCCCTCACCGCCCTCCCTCATCTTCCCCTCACCGCCCTCCCTCATCTTCCCCTCACCGCCCTCCCTCTTCTTCCCCTCACCGCCCTCCCTCTTCTTCCCCTCACCGCCCACCCTCATCTTCCCCTCACCGCCCTCCCTCTTCTTCCCCTCACCGCCCTCCCTCATCTTCCCCTCACCGCCCTGATCTTCCCCTCACTGCCCTCCCTCATCTTCCCCTCACCGCCCTCATCTTCCCCTCACCGCCCTCCCTCATCTTCCCCTCACCGCCCTCCCTCTTCTTCCCCTCACCGCCCTCCCTCTTCTTCCCCTCACCGCCCTCCCTCATCTTCCCCTCACCGCCCTCCCTCATCTTCCCCTCACCGCCCTCCCTCTTCTTCCCCTCACCGCCCTCCCTCTTCTTCCCCTCACCGCCCTCCCTCATCTTCCCCTCACCGCCCTCCCTCATCTTCCCCTCACCGCCCTCCCTCATCTTCCCCTCACCGCCCTCATCTTCCCCCCCTCACCGCCCTCCCTCATCTTCCCCTCACCGCCCTCATCTTCCCCTCACCGCCCTCCCTCATCTTCCCCTCACCGCCCTCATCTTCCCCTCACCGCCCTCCCTCATCTTCCCCTCACCGCCCTCCCTCTTCTTCCCCTCACCTCCCTCCCTCATCTTCCCCTCACCGCCCTCCCTCATCTTCCCCTCACCGCCCTCATCTTCCCCCCCTCACCGCCCTCCCTCATCTTCCCCTCACCGCCCTCATCTTCCCCTCACCGCCCTCCCTCATCTTCCCCTCACCGCCCTCATCTTCCCCTCACCGCCCTCCCTCATCTTCCCCTCACCGCCCTCATCTTCAACTCACCGCCCTCCCTCATCTTCCCCTCACCGCCCTCCCTCATCTTCCCCTCACCGCCCTCCCTCATCTTCCCCTCACCGCCCTCCCTCTACTTCCCCTCACCGCCCTCCCTCTTCTTCCCCTCACCGCCCTCCCTCATCTTCCCCTCACCGCCCTCCCTCATCTTCCCCTCACCGCCCTCATCTTCCCCTCACCGCCCTCCCTCATCTTCCCCTCACCGCCCTCCCTCATCTTCCCCTCACCGCCCTCCCTCATCTTCCCCTCACCGCCCTCCCTCTTCTTCCCCTCACCGCCCTCCCTCTTCTTCCCCTCACCGCCCACCCTCATCTTCCCCTCACCGCCCTCCCTCTTCTTCCCCTCACCGCCCTCCCTCATCTTCCCCTCACCGCCCTGATCTTCCCCTCACTGCCCTCCCTCATCTTCCCCTCACCGCCCTCATCTTCCCCTCACCGCCCTCCCTCTTCTTCCCTCACCGCCCTCCCTCTTCTTCCCCTCACCGCCCTCCCTCTTCTTCCCCTCACCGCCCTCCCTCTTCTTCCCCTCACCGCCCTCCCTCTTCTTCCCCTCACCGCCCTCCCTCTTCTTCCCCTCACCGCCCTCCCTCTTCTTCCCCTCACTGCCCTCCCTCTTCTTCCCCTCACCGCCCTCCCTCTTCTTCCCCTCACCGCCCTCCCTCTTCTTCCCCTCACCGCCCTCCCTCATCTTCCCCTCACCGCCCTCCCTCTTCTTCCCCTCACCGCCCTCCCTCTTCTTCCCCTCACCGCCCTCCCTCATCTTCCCCTCACCGCCCTCCCTCTTCTTCCCCTCACCGCCCTCCCTCTTCTTCCCCTCACCGCCCTCCCTCTTCTTCCCCTCACCGCCCTCCCTCTTCTTCCCCTCACCGCCCTCCCTCATCTTCCCCTCACCGCCCTCCCTCTTCTTCCCCTCACCGCCCTCCCTCTTCTTCCCCTCACCGCCCTCCCTCTTCTTCCCCTCACCGCCCTCCCTCATCTTCCCCTCACCGCCCTCCCTCATCTTCCCCTCACCGCCCTCCCTCATCTTCCCCTCACCGCCCTCCCTCTTCTTCCCCTCACCGCCCTCCCTCTTCTTCCCCTCACCGCCCTCCCTCATCTTCCCCTCACCGCCCTCCCTCATCTTCCCCTCACCGCCCTCCCTCTTCTTCCCCTCACCGCCCTCCCTCTTCTTCCCCTCACCGCCCTCCCTCATCTTCCCCTCACCGCCCTCCCTCATCTTCCCCTCACCGCCCTCCCTCATCTTCCCCTCACCGCCCTCATCTTCCCCCCCTCACCGCCCTCCCTCATCTTCCCCTCACCGCCCTCATCTTCCCCTCACCGCCCTCCCTCATCTTCCCCTCACCGCCCTCATCTTCCCCTCACCGCCCTCCCTCATCTTCCCCTCACCGCCCTCCCTCATCTTCCCCTCACCCCCCTCCCTCATCTTCCCCTCACCGCCCTCCCTCTTCTTCCCCTCACCGCCCTCCCTCTTCTTCCCCTCACCGCCCTCCCTCATCTTCCCCTCACCGCCCTCCCTCATCTTCCCCTCACCACCCTCATCTTCCCCTCACCGCCCTCCCTCATCTTCCCCTCACCGCCCTCATCTTCCCCTCACCGCCCTCCCTCATCTTCCCCTCACCGCCCTCCCTCTTCTTCCCCTCACCGCCCTCCCTCTTCTTCCCCTCACCGCCCTCCCTCTTCTTCCCCTCACCGCCCTCCCTCTTCTTCCCCTCACCGCCCTCCCTCTTCTTCCCCTCACCGCCCTCCCTCTTCTTCCCCTCACCGCCCTCCCTCTTCTTCCCCTCACCGCCCTCCCTCTTCTTCCCCTCACCGCCCTCCCTCTTCTTCCCCTCACCGCCCTCCCTCTTCTTCCCCTCACCGCCCTCCCTCGTCTTCCCCTCACCGCCCTCCCTCATCTTCCCCTCACCGCCCTCATCTTCCCCTCACCGCCCTCCCTCATCTTCCCCTCACCGCCCTCCCTCTTCTTCCCCTCACCGCCCTCCCTCTTCTTCCCCTCACCGCCCTCCCTCTTCTTCCCCTCACCGCCCTCCCTCGTCTTCCCCTCACCGCCCTCCCTCTTCTTCCCCTCACCGCCCTCCCTCTTCTTCCCCTCACCGCCCTCCCTCGTCTTCCCCTCACCGCCCGCCCTCATCTTCCCCTCACCGCCCTCCCTCATCTTCCCCTCACCGCCCTCATCTTCCCCTCACCGCCCTCCCTCATCTTCCCCTCACCGCCCTCCCTCATCTTCCCCTCACCGCCCTCCCTCATCTTCCCCTCACCGCCCTCCCTCTTCTTCCCCTCACCGCCCTCCCTCTTCTTCCCCTCACCGCCCTCCCTCCATCTTCCCCTCACCGCCCTCCCTCATCTTCCCCTCACCGCCCTCATCTTCCCCTCACCGCCCTCCCTCATCTTCCCCTCACCGCCCTCATCTTCCCCTCACCGCCCTCCCTCATCTTCCCCTCACCGCCCTCCCTCTTCTTCCCCTCACCGCCCTCCCTCTTCTTCCCCTCACCGCCCTCCCTCATCTTCCCCTCACCGCCCTCATCTTCCCCTCACCGCCCTCCCTCGTCTTCCCCTCACCGCCCTCCCTCATCTTCCCCTCACCGCCCTCCCTCGTCTTCCCCTCACCGCCCTCCCTCGTCTTCCCCTCACCGCCCTCCCTCTTCTTCCCCTCACCGCCCTCTCTCTTCTTCCCCTCACCGCCCTCCCTCTTCTTCCCCTCACCGCCCTCCCTCGTCTTCCCCTCACCGCCCTCCCTCGTCTTCCCCTCACCGCCCTCCCTCTTCTTCCCCTCACCGCCCTCCCTCGTCTTCCCCTCACCGCCCTCCCTCTTCTTCCCCTCACCGCCCTCCCTCTTCTTCCCCTCACCGCCCTCCCTCGTCTTCCCCTCACCGCCCTCCCTCGTCTTCCCCTCACCGCCCTCCCTCGTCTTCCCCTCACCGCCCTCCCTCTTCTTCCCCTCACCGCCCTCCCTCTTCTTCCCCTCACCGCCCTCCCTCGTCTTCCCCTCACCGCCCTCCCTCGTCTTCCCCTCACCGCCCTCCCTCTTCTTCCCCTCACCGCCCTCCCTCGTCTTCCCCTCACCGCCCTCCCTCTTCTTCCCCTCACCGCCCTCCCTCTTCTTCCCCTCACCGCCCTCCCTCATCTTCCCCTCACCGCCCTCCCTCTTCTTCCCCTCACCGCCCTCCCTCTTCTTCCCCTCACCGCCCTCCCTCGTCTTCCCCTCACCGCCCTTGCACGCTCCCCTCGAGTTTGGCCCTCCGTCCCTCCCCACCTCCCTCCCTCCCTGTGATCTCTCACCCTCCCTCTCACCCTCCCTCTCACCCTCCCTCTCACCCTCCCTCTCGCCCTCCCTCGCACCTTCCTTCCTGCTCCATATCTCCCCCCTCCAGTCTAGACGATGCATTGGACTCAGTACCCATTCAGGCATTTCTCAAGAACCTCCATCCAGCCATGCGGGAGAGAGCACAGGCCATCATGGGCGTCCCTTGGGACCCCAACTCTCGCCCCAACGTGTTTGGGAGATTGCCTGTTTCAACCCTCTCACCCTTCCTTCCCTTGAGTTCTCCCCTCCCCCACTCCAGTTTCGACGATGCATTGGACTCAGTGGGCATCCAAACCTTCCTCAAGAACCTCCATCCCGCCATGCGGGGGAGACCCCAGGCCATCATGGGCGTGCCCTGGGACCCCAACTCGCGATGCAATCCCAGTCCCCCTTTGGTTCTTTCCTCCCTCCCTCCTTCCCTCTCCAGTTTCGATGATGCGTTGGATTCAGTGGGAATTCAAACCTTCCTGAAGAACGTCCACCCATCCATGCGGGAGAGAGCACACGCCATCATGGGCGTCCGTTGGGACCCCAACTCCCGCCCCAACCTCTTTGGGGAGATGCGCTCACCCTTCCTTCCCCCGCGTTCTCCCCTCACTCCCACCAGTTTTGATGATGCGTTGGATTCAGTGGGCATTCAAACCTTCCTCAAGAACCTCCATCCGGCAATGCGGGAGAGAGCAAAAGCCATCATGGGCGTGCCTTGGGACCCCAATTCGCGCCCCAACCTGTTCGGGGAGATTGCGCGCGTGCTGCTGCTGCTGCCCACGCCCTATCTCTTCTTGTCTCCTCCCCCCTCCCTCTCACCTTCCTCCCCTTCCTCCCCTTCCTCCCCTTCCTCCCCTTCCTCCTCCAGTTTCGATGATGCATTGGATTCAGTGGGCATCCAAACCTTCCTCAAGAACCTCCATCCCGCCATGCGGGAGAGAGCACAGGCCATAATGGGCGTGCCTTGGGACCCCAATTCGCGCCCCAACCTGTTCGGGGAGATTGCGCGCGTGCTGCTGCTGCCGACGCCAGCAGTGGCGGAGGCAGTGAGATGGGCGCTGGGGAGCGGAGGGAGGGACGCTGATGTGGTCATTCACTTTCGGCACGGCGGGTGAGTGGCTTGGATTTGCTTGCTATGTTGTTCCCAAGGTTGGGGTTGCCGTGGGCTGCTGTGTGTTGGTGTGGGCGCTGGGGAGCGGCAGGAGGGACGCAGATGCGCTCATTCACTTCTGCCACGGCGGGGTGACTTTTGAGTCGACTCAAAAGTCACTTCTGCCACGGCAGGTGAGTGGCTTGGGTGCATTTTGATGGGAGGTGGTGTGTGTGGGTGCTTTGGTGTGACAGAGGGTCTGGATGGAATGGAAAGAGCTTGCAGCTTTCTATCCGTTTTCTTAGTTTAAGAGCTGGAAAGAGAAGGGGCTTGCCCTTGTGCTGCTGATGCTGCCGACACCAACGGTGGCGGAGGCAGTGAGATGGGGGAGGTGAGGGGAAGATGAGGGCGGTGAGGGGAAGATGAGGGAGGGCGGTGAGGGGAAGAAGAGGGCGGCGGAGGGACGCCGATGTGGTCATACTCTTTCTGCGCGGCGGGTGAGTGGCTTGGATTTGCTTGCTATGTTGGTGCCAAGGTTGGGGTTGCCGTGGGCTGCTGTGTGTTGGTGTGGGCGCTGGGGAGTGGCAGGAGGGACGCAGATGCGCTCATTCACTTCTGCGCGACGGGTGAGTGGCTTGGATTCGCTTGCTATGTTGTTCCCAAGGTTGGGGTTGCCGTCGGCGGATGCAGTGAGGTGGGCGCTGGGCAGTGGAGGGATGCCGACGTGGTAATTCATTACCGCCACGGCAGGTGAGTGGCTTGGATGTGCTTGCTGTGCTGGTGTCACGTTTGGCTTGGGTTGGCGTGGGTTGGCTTGGGTTGGTGTGGGTTGATATGGGTGGAATGGGAAAGGGATGGGTGGAATGGGAAAAGGAGAGGAAGTTTGTTTGGCGCTGGCATGGCGGCGGTGAGGTGGGGCGTGGGCTGGTGCTGTTATTAGTGAACAGGTGGGCTGCGAGTAAACACTTTTGAGAATTCTCAAAAGTGATTTCAATATTAGTGAACAGGTGGGCTGTGAGTAAACACTTTTGAGAATTCTCAAAAGTGATTTCAATATTAGTGAACAGGTGGGCTGCGAGTAAACACTTTTGAGAATTCTCAAAAGTGATTTCAGTATTAGTGAACAGGTGGGCTGTGAGTAAACACTTTTGAGAATTCTCAAAAGTGATTTCAATATTAGTGAACAGGTGGGTGCGAGTAAACACTTTTGAGAATTCTCAAAAGTGATTTCAATATTAGTGAACAGGTGGGCTGTGAGTAAACACTTTTGAGAATTCTCAAAAGTGATTTCAATATTAGTGAACAGGTGGGCTGCGAGTAAGCACTTTTGAGAATTCTCAAAAGTGATTTCAATATTAGTGAACAGGTGGGCTGCGAGTAAGCACTTTTGAGAATTCTCAAAAGTGATTTCAATATTAGTGAACAGGTGGGCTGCGAGTAAACACTTTTGAGAATTCTCAAAAGTGATTTCAGTATTAGTGAACAGGTGGGCTGCGAGTAAACAGAAGTGTTTTGAGACGTCTCAAAACACTTCAGTTTGGCGCTGGCATGGCGGCGGTGAGGTGGGGCGTGGGCTGGTGCTGTTATTAGTGAACAGGTGGGCTGCGAGTAAACACTTTTGAGTTTTGAGTCGACTCAAAAGGCATGGCGGCGGTGAGGTGGGGCATGGGCTGGTAGATGATGGGTGATGGGGCATGTGTTGGCATGGGTTGGGTGTGTTGGTGCGGACTGGCAGGCCAGACTCTTCGTATCGTGCGTGGGATGCCAACAATCATGTGTGGGTGGGACTCGTTTCGTTGCTCCCCTTTCCACCCACAGGCTCTATAGCGCTGCATGCCCGTTTTCTATGGGTTTTAATGGGGGAGCTTCATTCCTCTCCCCCCTCTTCCTGCAGGCTGGAATCCGTGGCTTCTGCGGCGGCTCTGTGTCTTAAAAGGGCCCTGGAGCACATTCACAGGGTGAAGCAGCAGGACGAGCAGCAGAAGGAGCAAGCAGACGCACTTGAAAGAATACAAACGGTAGCAGCAACAGAAGCAGCACTGCCAGCACCAACAGCAGCAACGGTTGGAGCGGCATCTGTAATTACAGTAGCGTCTGGAGTAGTATTAGCAGGGCCAGCAGGAACAGGAGGAGGTGAAGCAGTTGCAGCGATGAGACCAACAGGTGTTGGTGCAGGCAGCATGGGGAGTAGGTTGCTGGCGTGGGGGAAGGGGAGAATTCGGTGGGGCGGAGGCAGACGATTGCTGGAGACAGAGGGTAGAGGAGAGGGTGGTGGAGAGGTAGAGATGGGTGGAGAAGGGGAGGAGGTGGGTAGAGAAAGGGGTGGAGGACGGGAGGAGGAGGGCAGAGGAGGAGAGGGGATGGGTGGAGGGGAAGAGGAAGGTCAGTTGGAGCGTGCGAGTGTGCGTCGTGACTCGGTGGTGGTGCTGCAGAAGCAGAAAGGGGGGGGAGGAGGGAAGGGCAAGGGCAAGACAACGACTTTTGAGGCGCCTCAAAATCTGGAGCGTGCGAGTGCGCGTCGTGCGAGTGTTTTTGACGCGGTGGTGGTGCAGAAGCAGAAAAAGGGAGGAGGGAAGGGCAAGGGCAAGACAACCAAGGGAAAGACGAAGAAGGGAAAAACGAAAGTAGGAAAGACGAAAACGGGGAAGACAAAGAAGGGAAAGCCGGGGAAGGCGAAATCGGGGAAGGCAAAGAAGGGGAAGAGGGTGAAGTGGACTCAAGGACAGAAGAAGGCGGCTGGGGATGAGGATGAGAAAGGAGGGAATAAGGAAGGAGGGAGCGAGAACAAGACAGCAGGGAGCAAGAAAGCGGCGAGCGATAAGGACAAGCTGAGGGTGGTGGTGGTGGCGGATCATCCAAGCGTGTTCCGCAAGATAGGTGCACTGACGTCCGACTTTGCAAAGGTGGGTCTACTGTGCCGCTCTTTGCAAAGGTGGGTCTACTGTGCCGCTCCTTGCCTTTCCAACCGATAAGAATATTGGCAGGCCTTAGTTTGAGTCGGCACACGAATTTGCGGATCACCCAAGCGTGGTGCGCAATATAGGCGCAGGATAGGCGCAAGATAGGCGCAAGATAGGCGCAAGATAGGCGCAAGATAGGCGCAAGATAGGCGCAAGATAGGCGCAGGATAGGCGCAGGATAGGCGCAAGATAGGCGCGAGATAGGCGCAAGATAGGCGCAAGATAGGCGCAAGATAGGCGCATGATAGGCGCAAGATAGGTGCAAGATGGGCGCAAGATAGGCGCAAGATAGGCGCAAGATAGGCGCAAGATAGGCGCATGATAGGCGCAAGATAGGCACATGATCGGCGCAAGATGGGTGCAAGATAGGCGCAAGATAGGCGCAAGATAGGCGCAAGATAGGCGCAAGATAGGCGCAAGATAGGCGCAGGATAGGCGCAGGATAGGCGCAAGATAGGCGCGAGATAGGCACAAGATAGGCGCAAGATAGGCGCAAGATAGGCGCATGATAGGCGCAAGATAGGCGCATGATAGGCGCAAGATAGGCACATGATCGGCGCAAGATAGGCGCAAGATAGGCGCAAGATAGGCGCATGATAGGCGTGCTGACTTTGCCAAGGTGGGTGAACCGTGCTGCAAAGGAGGTAGCACTCTCCCCGCACCTCCACCTCTCGAATGGCCCGTGTATTAGCTGAAGGGTGGTACAAAGGTTTGAAGCAGACACATGCAAACTAGGCAAACAAGCAGTCCTATCAACCATCACCTACTCCCCTCCCCTCCCCCCGCTGTCCGACCCTAGTGGTCGGACGGGGGCTCGATCAGCTGGTGCAGCTGCCCTTCGTTGAGAGGGGCCCACGGCCCTTGCAGGCTGAGCTCGTCCGCCTCCAGGGCCTCGTTGGTCTTGGTGCGGAGGGCATTTGCCTGTGCCCTCTGGAGGCACACGCTCCAGCGCTGGCGGTACTCCGTCAGCAGCTTGGCAGCCTCTCGAGAGGTAGGGGCCGCGTTGTAGCGGAGCTTCGCAGCCAGCTCCGCGCACTGCCGCAGGTAAGCCAGTACCCCCGGCGACGGGTAGCCGTAGGTCTCCACGGCCAAGGCGTGGAACCCCACCCACGCATTCCGTCCCGCATATTTCTCCTCCTTCCGAGCAGCTGCCGCCCTAGCCGCCCAACCAGGTGCGCGGTTGCAGTTCTCGTCCTGGAAGGACACTGGGTCGGTCCCTTCACTGGGTGAAGGCACAGAGGGCCCCTTAAATAGGCTCAGAGGGAGTTTCATTTTCGGCGGAGAGAGAGCGAGAGAGAGAAGGCCTTAGCATCCAGCCCTCTCCCTCTTCCCTCTGCCCTCTCCCTCTGGGCCTATTTAAGGGGCCCTCTGTGCCTTCCCGGCCTCATTATTTCGTGGGTATTTCGTAGAGGCCGGCCCAGAGCCCTTGGCGAAATCGCAGGAGCCTGTTCATATTTGCGCTCCAGTCAGGCTTACGAGCTGACGAGGAGCGAAGAAGTAAGCGAGGGAGGAAGGTGAGTAACATCCAGCCAGGTTCTGACTCGGGGTTGGCTGCCAGGTGGAGTAACGGTGTCAGCAGGCAAATCGCGAAAGACTCGCGAAGGTCTTTTGGAGGGTGGCGGGCGACTGGGGGTTGGCGACTGTCTCGCAGCGGGCCAATGTCCCAGTCGGCAACCTGGGCGAACAGGTCAGTATTTTTCGCCAGGTCGTCGGGTTTGAGCATTGGGGGGGTCGGAATTGGGGCTGCTGAATTCTCATTGGCTGTCGCAGAGTCAACTCCAGTCTCTGTCGCGGCTCGATTTCCCCTCCTTGCGTGATTTCCCCCCGCGGCTCGGTTCTGAGCTGTGGTTCGGTTGGCAGGTTCGCCTCGGACATTTGGGCTGGGGAGCTCCTCTCCTCGAAGCAAAAGTTCCAACTCCTCCTCGTCCTTCTCAGCTTCTGCCCCCAACATCCCCTCTCTTTCAGGGTTAAAAGCAGGGTCACCCTCGTCACTTTCCTCATTCTCCACTTCCTCCTCTGCCTCCTCGCTAAGCGGTTCCTCGCCGCCCTCCGCGCTGTTTCGCATCAGCCTTTCCGCATTTCTCGCGTAGCCGCTTGCACCTGTGCGGCGCCTGTTTGAACCTCGTGTTCCACCACCTCTTCGTCCTCTCTCGTTACCTCGTCGTCCGCGGCGGCTGCCGCGTCCTACGCGGATTCCACGCGTTGCTCTTCCAACAGCAGCTCCCTCGCGCCCTGTCTGCGGCGCCGCGACCGTCTCGTTTTCGCTTCGTCGGCGCGCTGGCGTCGGCTGCGGTACGATCGGGGGTGATGGACCCATCCGCGAGACGGGATCCGGAGCTGGAGGGTTCCGCGGAGAGCGCGCTGCCGCAGCCTGCGCCTGCCGGGCCTCGTCCGCGTCTCCTTGCGCACCCCTCCGCAAGCGAGCCCGTTCGCCGCTTCGAGCGGGTGCAAACACTTCCCCATCGGCCTGCCGCGCGCCCCACCTCGCCGGAGTATTCGTGGGCGCCTGCACGTGTTGCGTCGAACCGCCCGGACGGTCAGCCGCGGCATGAGCGCGGGTGCTCGCCTCCGCGTCAGCCTCCTCGGCCGCCCTCTCCTCGCCGCCCTTCTCCTGAGCATCGCGAGCACTATCAGCGCGGGGAGGGGGGTCAGCGTTCCCCTGCACGTCCTCGCTCTCCTCGCCGCCCATCCCCTCGTGGTCAGGCAGGCCAGCGCTCACCCCGAGCGCGATCCCCCGCGCAACGCTCTCCGCGGCGATCTCCGGCGACGCGGGGGAGGGGGTCGCCTGGGCGTCGCTGGGATTCGGGTCGCCGCGAGCAGTCCCCCCCGCGTCCACATTCGGCTGGTTCCGGGGGACGGCGGGGCTGGCGGAAAGGCGGAGGGCGAGGCGGGAATGGCAACCAGCCGGATCCTGCCCTCGATCGCGCTGCGGACACGTTCGTGGAGGTGGTGAGGCAGGCCCGGGCGAGTGGGGCGCCGACTCACGTCCACATTGAGGTGACCAACGGTCCCCCCTTCGCCGCGGACCCCGGCCAGGTTGCTCCTCTGCGCGCGCCGACGCTGCGCGAATATCAGCCCGCGCGTGGGGGAAGGGCTCAGTTCCGCACCCCCCGTCAGGTTCCCGGCTTCTCTGCGCCGCGCTTATCTGTTGGCCGGACTCCTGGCTGGCCGGCGGCGTTTCCGCGCGAAGCGCTGACTGCACCTCCCCCCACTCGCGCGGGGAGAGACCCCATGCTGACCATGTGCCGGATTTTGAATCTGGCGGAGGCGTGCGAGGTGGTGGCGAACTTGCAGCTGGCGGTGTGTGGGGCCACGCGGAGCTTTCCGAGCAGTTTCGGTCCAGGGTCCCGAGGATCCTGCGTGACTTTGGCAGAATCGCTCGAGTCGCCGTTGGCACCCGTGTCGGATGCGCCCGCCGGGGTAGGCTCCCTTAGCCCGTACTTTCCCCCGCCACGTGGGGGATCTTGTAGGGGCTGCTCAAGCCGGGACCCCCTTGGACACGCTCCAGTCGTCGGCGCATCTCCTTCTTGCAGTATCGGCGTGCAAGCGCTCGATGCTTGAGGTGGAGGGGGCGGAGCCGTACACGATGTAGGCCTCCGCCGCGTGTAGAATTGCATGCCGCGCCTCTTGCTCTTGCCCAGCTCCTTGCCTTTGTGTGTGTGTGTGCCCTTTATAAGCCGAACCCACGTTTTGTGTCTTGCCACCAGGAACGCGCGGCCGAAGGCCGCGCTTGCGAGCGGCGGCGGCCGAAGGCCGCCGGCGCGAGCCGCCGAAAATGAAACACCCACGAAATAATGAGGCCGGGAAGGCATAGAGGGCCCCTTAAATAGGCTCAGAGGGAGAGGGCAGAGGGAAGAGGGAGAGGGCTGGATGCTAAGGCCTTCTCTCTCTCGCTCTCTCTCCGCCGAAAATGAAACACCCACGAAATAATGAGGCCGGGAAGGCACAGAGGGGCCCTTAAATAGGCTCAGAGGGAGAGGGCAGAGGGAAGAGGGAGAGGGCTGGATGCTAAGGCCTTCTCTCTCTCGCTCTCTCTCCGCCGAAAATGAAACACCCACGAAATAATGAGGCCGGGAAGGCACAGAGGGCCCCTTAAATAGGCTCAGAGGGAGAGGGCAGAGGGAAGAGGGAGAGGGCTGGATGCTAAGGCCTTCTCTCTCTCGCTCTCTCTCCGCCGAAAATGAAACCACCCACGCATTCCGTCCCCGCACCTCTCTGTCTCCCTTCACACCATTCTCCCCTCACCGCACCCTCCACCCTCCCTTACTTCGTTTTCCCTTCGCCGCATTCTTGCCTCACCTCATTATTCCCTTCACCAGTTTCCCGTCCTTTTTCGGCTACCCCTCTCACCAAACTTGGTCCCTTACCCACTTCATCCCCCCCTCTCCCTCTCTACTCTTCCCCCCCCCACCCCCCTTAACTCCCCGGCGGTTAGATCATTTGTTTCGATCATGCCAAGTTGTGCGCCCACACCCGGAAAACCCCCTCCCACCAAACTTGGTCCCTTACCTGCTTCAATTGCCTCCCTCCCTATTCTCCCCCCTTATCCTCCCCCTCCCCCCCCCCATCAGATCATTCGTTTCGACAATGCCAAGTTTGTGCGCCGACACCCAGAGAGCCCCCTCGCACCACTTTCCCATTACCCACTGCATCCCGCTTCCCTCCCTATCGTTCCTCCAGTTTTACTCCCCTGCCCATCAGATCATTCGTTTCGACCATGCTAAGTTCATGCGCCGACACCCAGAGAGCCCCCTCGCACCAAACCTCGTCCCTTACCCACGTCATCCCGCTACCTCCCTATTCTTCCCCCTTATCCTTCCCCCCCCCGCCCATCAGATCATTCGTTTTGACCATGCTAAGTTCGTGCGCCGACACCCGGAAAGCCCTCTTGCCTCTGCAAAGAACAAATCAGTAAGCAGCAGCACTACCGAGCTTCAGCATCCTTTCACCATCCTATGAGTAGACTTAAAATACACATAGACACCCGGAAAGCCCTCTTGCCTCTGCAAAGAACAAATCAGTAAGCAGCAGCACTACCGAGCTTCAGCATCCTTTCACCATCCTATGAGTAGACTTAAAATACACATAGACACCCGGAAAGCCCTCTTGCCTCTGCAAAGAACAAATCAGTAAGCAGCAGCACTACCGAGCTTCAGCATCCTTTCACCATCCTATGAGTAGACTTAAAATACACATAGACACCCGGAAAGCCCTCTTGCCTCTGCAAAGAACAAATCAGTAAGCATCAGCACTACCGAGCTTCAGCATCCTTTCACCATCCTATGAGTAGACTCAAAATACACATAGACACCCGGAAAGTCACCTGGAAAGGGCATCACCTCTGATGCGTCAATTTGCAACCTCTGAAAGAACACTGCTAAAAATTGTAACAACGTTGTAATAGCCTTTCAACAACTTCCCAGCAACTCTTTTTTTCTGTGCTCTCTTCTCTCTCTCTGCATTCTCCTTCCCTTCCCTCGCAGCTCCCATCCTTCCGAGTGCGAGACTGGGGCCCCCTGCCCCGCTGGGTGGCATTGGTCGACTTCTTCCTTGCCGCCCGGGCGCGCTACGCCTTCATTTCTGCAGGGCGATCAAGGGTCTTCACCACCTTCTCTCAGCTCGCTGCCTCTCTCGCCGCTGCCAGGAGCCTAGGTGAGTCCCTGGTAGGGTGTGGCTGCTCGGTGATTGTGCAATTGTCGTTCTGTCTTCACCACCTTCTCTCAGCTCGCCACTTCCCTCGCTGCTGCTGCCAGGAGCCTAGGTGAGCCACGCTATGAGGTAGAGGATCCCACCACCTGGTCAAAGGGGCGTGGTAAGGCAGTGCGCTCGTACAATCGCTGCTCGAAAGTCTTCAGCACCTTCTCTCGACTCACTACCTCTTTAGCCTCTTTCAGGGTGACTCATTCTCATGCTCTCGCTTTCCCCGCCCCGGTCCCTCTCCCTGTTCCCCTTCCCCTCCACCTCCCACCACCCCCCTCATCTCCCCGCAAAAGACACCCTCTCCCCTTCGTCATCCCACTTCCTCCTTCTAAGCGCCTGCTACTTGCAGCTGCTGGAGAATGAGTTGGCCAAGCAGGGGGGGAGGGGCCACGCCTAGCACATTCTCATTCTCACTCTCTCCCTTTCCCTGCTTTCTATTCCCCATCCTCCTTTCCAATGTCCTCCCCCTTCCCACTTACCATTCTACTGATGACACCCCCTCCCCTCAAGCCTCGCGCTTCCTCCTGCTAAGCGCCTTCCACGCTCACCTACTGGAAAACGGTTTAGCCAACCAGGGGGGGAGGGGCCACGCCTGGAACACCTTCTCAGGCCGCCTCTCCTGCCCCGCCCAGCCTCTCCTGCCCCGCCCAGCCTCTCCTGCCCCGCCCAGCCTCTCCTGCCCCGCCCAGCCTCTCCTGCCCCGCCCAGCCTCTCCTGCCCCGCCCAGCCTCTCCTGCCCCGCCCAGCCTCTCCTGCCCCGCCCAGCCTCTCCTGCCCCGCCCAGCCTCTCCTGCCCCGCCCAGCCTCTCCTGCCCGCCCAGCCTCTCCTGCCCCGCCCAGCCTCTCCTGCCCCGCCCAGCCTCTCCTGCCCCGCCCAGCCTCTCCTGCCCCGCCCAGCCTCTCCTGCCCCGCCCAGCCTCTCCTGCCCCGCCCAGCCTCTCCTGCCCCGCCCAGCCTCTCCTGCCCCGCCCAGCCTCTCCTGCCCCGCCCAGCCTCTCCTGCCCCGCCCAGCCTCTCCTGCCCCGCCCAGCCTCTCCTGCCCCGCCCAGCCTCTCCTGCCCCGCCCAGCCTCTCCTGCCCCGCCCAGCCTCTCCTGCCCCGCCCAGCCTCTCCTGCCCCGCCCAGCCTCTCCTGCCCCGCCCAGCCTCTCCTGCCCCGCCCAGCCTCTCCTGCCCCGCCCAGCCTCTCCTGCCCCGCCCAGCCTCTCCTGCCCCGCCCAGCCTCTCCTGCCCCGCCCAGCCTCTCCTGCCCCGCCCAGCCTCTCCTGCCCCGCCCAGCCTCTCCTGCCCCGCCCAGCCTCTCCTGCCCCGCCCAGCCTCTCCTGCCCCGCCCAGCCTCTCCTGCCCCGCCCAGCCTCTCCTGCCCCGCCCAGCCTCTCCTGCCCCGCCCAGCCTCTCCTGCCCCGCCCAGCCTCTCCTGCCCCGCCCAGCCTCTCCTGCCCCGCCCAGCCTCTCCTGCCCCGCCCAGCCTCTCCTGCCCCGCCCAGCCTCTCCTGCCCCGCCCAGCCTCTCCTGCCCCGCCCAGCCTCTCCTGCCCCGCCCAGCCTCTCCTGCCCCGCCCAGCCTCTCCTGCCCCGCCCAGCCTCTCCTGCCCCGCCCAGCCTCTCCTGCCCCGCCCAGCCTCTCCTGCCCCGCCCAGCCTCTCCTGCCCCGCCCAGCCTCTCCTGCCCCGCCCAGCCTCTCCTGCCCCGCCCAGCCTCTCCTGCCCCGCCCAGCCTCTCCTGCCCCGCCCAGCCTCTCCTGCCCCGCCCAGCCTCTCCTGCCCCGCCCAGCCTCTCCTGCCCCGCCCAGCCTCTCCTGCCCCGCCCAGCCTCTCCTGCCCCGCCCAGCCTCTCCTGCCCCGCCCAGCCTCTCCTGCCCCGCCCAGCCTCTCCTGCCCCGCCCAGCCTCTCCTGCCCCGCCCAGCCTCTCCTGCCCCGCCCAGCCTCTCCTGCCCCGCCCAGCCTCTCCTGCCCCGCCCAGCCTCTCCTGCCCCGCCCAGCCTCTCCTGCCCCGCCCAGCCTCTCCTGCCCCGCCCAGCCTCTCCTGCCCCGCCCAGCCTCTCCTGCCCCGCCCAGCCTCTCCTGCCCCGCCCAGCCTCTCCTGCCCCGCCCAGCCTCTCCTGCCCCGCCCAGCCTCTCCTGCCCCGCCCAGCCTCTCCTGCCCCGCCCAGCCTCTCCTGCCCCGCCCAGCCTCTCCTGCCCCGCCCAGCCTCTCCTGCCCCGCCCAGCCTCTCCTGCCCCGCCCAGCCTCTCCTGCCCCGCCCAGCCTCTCCTGCCCCGCCCAGCCTCTCCTGCCCCGCCCAGCCTCTCCTGCCCCGCCCAGCCTCTCCTGCCCCGCCCAGCCTCTCCTGCCCCGCCCAGCCTCTCCTGCCCCGCCCAGCCTCTCCTGCCCCGCCCAGCCTCTCCTGCCCCGCCCAGCCTCTCCTGCCCCGCCCAGCCTCTCCTGCCCCGCCCAGCCTCTCCTGCCCCGCCCAGCCTCTCCTGCCCCGCCCAGCCTCTCCTGCCCCGCCCAGCCTCTCCTGCCCCGCCCAGCCTCTCCTGCCCCGCCCAGCCTCTCCTGCCCCGCCCAGCCTCTCCTGCCCCGCCCAGCCTCTCCTGCCCCGCCCAGCCTCTCCTGCCCCGCCCAGCCTCTCCTGCCCCGCCCAGCCTCTCCTGCCCCGCCCAGCCTCTCCTGCCCCGCCCAGCCTCTCCTGCCCCGCCCAGCCTCTCCTGCCCCGCCCAGCCTCTCCTGCCCCGCCCAGCCTCTCCTGCCCCGCCCAGCCTCTCCTGCCCCGCCCAGCCTCTCCTGCCCCGCCCAGCCTCTCCTGCCCGCCCAGCCTCTCCTGCCCCGCCCAGCCTCTCCTGCCCCGCCCAGCCTCTCCTGCCCCGCCCAGCCTCTCCTGCCCCGCCCAGCCTCTCCTGCCCCGCCCAGCCTCTCCTGCCCCGCCCAGCCTCTCCTGCCCCGCCCAGCCTCTCCTGCCCCGCCCAGCCTCTCCTGCCCCGCCCAGCCTCTCCTGCCCCGCCCAGCCTCTCCTGCCCCGCCCAGCCTCTCCTGCCCCGCCCAGCCTCTCCTGCCCCGCCCAGCCTCTCCTGCCCCGCCCAGCCTCTCCTGCCCCGCCCAGCCTCTCCTGCCCCGCCCAGCCTCTCCTGCCCCGCCCAGCCTCTCCTGCCCCGCCCAAGCCTCTCCTGCCCCGCCCAGCCTCTCCTGCCCCGCCCAGCCTCTCCTGCCCCGCCCAGCCTCTCCTGCCCCGCCCAGCCTCTCCTGCCCCGCCCAGCCCTCTCCTGCCCCGCCCAGCCTCTCCTGCCCCGCCCAGCCTCTCCTGCCCCGCCCAGCCTCTCCTGCCCCGCCCAGCCTCTCCTGCCCCGCCCAGCCTCTCCTGCCCCGCCCGACCCCTCCTATGTGCCCTCTCCTCCTCTCACACTGCCGCTTTCTCACCCTCTCGCTTTTCCTGCTTTCTCTCTCCCCCCATTTTCCCCCCGTTCCCCTCACCAGAGGACACCCCCTCCCCTCAAGCCTCGCGCTTCCTCCTGCTAAGCGCCTTCCACTCGCACCTACTGGAGAACGGTTTAGCCAACCAGGGGGGGAGGGGCCACGCCTGGCACACCTTCTCTGGCCGCCTCTCCTGCCCCGCCCAGCCCCCCCAGTGCGCCCTCTCCCCCGCCCTGCCCTATGCCTGGTGGGACGCGCCCTGGCAGTCCCCTGCGCGGGGGGAAGGGGGGAAGCTGAGGCGGTTGGGGCTGCAGGTGGGGGAAAGGGGGGAGGTGGGGGAGGAGGCTGTGGAGAGGTTTTGTGAGAGGCGGAAGGGGGTGGCTGTGAGAGTGAAGCTAGAGATGGGGTTGATAGGGGGAGGAGAGGAGGGAAAGGGGGAGAAAAAAGGGAGGGGGGAGGGTGAGAAGGGGAAGGGGGAAAAGGGGAAGGGGGAAAAGGGGAAGGGGAAGAAGGGGGAGAAAGGGACGAAGAAGGCAATTCAGAGATGATGGATGGGGGGGAGGGGAAGTGTTTAGGCGCAAAAAACGAGAAGAAAATGGAGGAGTGGGGAGCGAGTAAGTAGTCCGATGTGTGCAATCAGAGTTTCGCAAAAGAGACATGGTTTTGAAGCACTGTTTTCTTAGCACAATAGAAGCTTTGCAAAGCTCATGTTTTTCGCTAACAGGTTGCCCCCCCCCCTCCCCCTCCCCATTCAGTTCTTGTTCCAAGATTTGAAGCACTCTGAGCTCTAGGGCAAGTGCATCTCTTATCGTAGCCTGTATGTAATAAAATGGAGAGACCCCTATCATCATATCTGCAGAGCATGCCAAACCAAAATACATTCATCCCTTAGCTCCCTGCATCCGTCAACACAAAATGTGCGGTGAGCGCGGATCGAATACGCGAATTTTAGATCTGCAGTCTGACGCCCTCCCAACTGAGCTATCCCACGTGGAGAATTGAGCTAAGCTAGCGGTCTACAATCTGAGCTACATCACCTTTGTTTCACGACCTCCTTAAATCTTACTGGCAAATCTAGGCCACTTGTCGCTTCTCCTTCAGGAATCATTGTTCCAGAGTCATCTACAATCCCAGGTTACAAGGAGTCAGGACTGGTGCCCTCTCTTATGCTTCTTAGTAGTGAAATTGGAGCAAGACAGCATCCGACCAGAGTCACAATTGCAGGTCACAATGTGGGCTGGTTTGTGCCATAATCGTACACCTCCGTTGCCCAATCTAGCAACTTAATACATTTCCAGGCTCGAAACCCAACTGCTCCAGGCTCTGTGTCATAAAGCCTCATATGGTATTAAGATGGGTGTTCAGTCCATGATGACTGAAGTTGTTTGTTGTGAGATCACTTCTCAAGGTCTCCCAACTCTGCAAGTACAAGGGAAAAAAAGTAGCAGTGTTGGAGCATGTGGTGGGAATGCGATGGGGAGGAATCGATTGATGAGGCCAGGAGGGGTGGGGAAAAGAGGGAAAAAGGGGCGTGAGGGGAGACAAGACCAAAGAGGCTCAGAACGGGGGCGGGAGAAGGAGCAAGAGCAGGAGTTCAAAATGTAGGTCAAATAAGAAGCAAGAAGGAAAGGGGAAAAAAGTCACTTACCTTCATCCTCCTCGTCCTCATCCTCATCACCACCAAGCCCAGCACCTCCGAAATCAGCACCACCAAAGTCAGCACCTCCAAAATCACCACCTCCAAAACCACCACCAAAGCCACCCGCACCACCGAAGCCACCAGCACCCTGCAGCTCAAAGCAAAACGCGATGCATCAATATATTTGCACAAGGAAGAGTGTGACGCATGTACGAACCATGGCAGATCCACACTTGCATCGATCATGGACCCAGCATTTATGGAAAAAAAAAAGTTGTCAACACCTGTGGCAGTACGATCGATCATGTGTCTTGCTTTTCATATGACCTCACCTGGAATTGTTTCATGAAGTCAGGGTCCACTGCCAAAAAAAACAAGAGTGACAAAGAGAGGGAGGAAATTGAAAGGTTTAGATGGGAGGAAAGACATGCATGTTAAGAGGGGAGCGATATAGCATATCCTGTTTGATCGGGAAAAACATGGCTATATTCCTGCTTGATGGGGAGCCATATGGCACCTTCATACTAAAAAATCGTTAAAAAACGTGCCATTCAGCGACAGAGCATGTGAAGGACAACAGTAGCGTGGAGCCATCCACGCCATACGCTTCAGCAACGATGGCCACGTAAACGTTGATGTTTTGCAATTGTGACAAACACACAATGAAATTCGCTTCCGTTTGAACTTTCATCTTGTTCTCTCCCTTGTTTAACCTGTTCACGATTGAACATTATCCCACTTGTACTCACATTGGTTAGCACTTGACTCCTCGTCTTCATCGACCCACTTGTTCCAGTCAACCTTGAGGAACGGCGGAGCTCGTCCCGCCGCCTTGATCAGCCGAGGCCACCACTTGGCCTCCGCCTTCACCACCATGAATATTGTGTGCCGCAAGGTGCTCACCACTTTGCTCTCCTGAAAACAGATCGTCAGCATAGAAAACGAGAAGTTGCGTCAATGAAGATATAACGTATCCAATCGTCAAGACTGGACCAATGGCCAAACGGAGTACCTTCCAAGAGTAAGATGTGAAGCCTGTGAATGCAATTGAGCGTTCACAACTGAAGGAATCTGATCTATGTTGGCCGAACCACGCACCTCGACATTAATTTTATCAAACAGCTCAAGATCGACGGCGAAGACTTGATCGTCGGCTCCTGCTTTAGCTGAGTATGATAGCTTCCCCTCTGGATCTAGATTCGTCTTAATGTCTTTAGCATCAGGGAGCTCGACTGTGATAATAACGTTGTCTGACCGTTGAGCCCAGACCACCTCTGGATGGCGACTGCACAGACCAGACGCAGGTTATCGTCAGTGCGGATTACCGTAAAGTACTGTATGATAAACCCAAATAATCATATCGATAAGCACAAAAAAAAACAGCTAAACCAATTTAAATCTATCGATCTGTGGTAAGAGTCACGAGGCAGCAGCCACAATTCCCGTACCCCATGGTGGTCTTGATGAGAGAAGAACGAGAAGCTCAGATGTTGGAGACCGATCCGAACCCTCGGAAAACACAATAAAATCAGGAGGGCTGATCAAGGAATCTAGAGCGAAGCTGCACTTCGGACGGTGGGGGTCAGTGACTGCTAATCAGAAGATAAAGGTGGCGTTGGCGAAATTTATTCGTCTCGCAGACCGATTAATCGCAGGAAAAGACCTCGTGACCAAGAACTTCGAGAAAACGTTCGGAGCCTCAAAATATTAATGCAGGATAGGTGATTAGAGCATACTGTAATAAGCATGGATGTTGCAACTCCTGAATCCTGGACAACTCGACAATGAACTCGTTCGGCCACATGGTAGATAGGAGATATTTCTCGTTCTGTCCACTTGGGTCTCAAGGTGGTTCTGGAACTTGCAGAGTCAGGGGAAGGGGCGTCGTTGAAGCACAGATGTCTACTCACAAGCTGCCACGTCGGAGACGAACGCAAGTGACATTCGGTTCGGTCTGCTGCGGTAGCTGCAGAAGCAGGAATCTCGAATACACTAAATTGCGAAGTCGTTTTTCTCGGTAGTGAGGAAGCACCGCTCCAGACCGCACAAACCCCTTCTGTGCACGCACCGCAACAAACTAGAAAATATCGTAGGTGTGCAACGCCGGAACACGCAGTAACGAGGATAATCTGCTCTTCGCTGATCAGTTGCCGAGATTCGTAGCTCTTGCGTCCTGATCCGACTTTCGTTGTACTAGTTGCCGTCGATTACAGTACCTACGCCAGGTCATCACAGTGAGAACATGGCGGTAAGTTCGCTTTTCGTTGTCTTGTTTAGAAATGGGAAACGCTCAAAGTCTGCTTCCTGATGCTTATTCTCCTCTCTTTCGTTCGCCTTTCCGCAGACCGTTCCAGTAAACCCTAAGCCGTTCCTAAACGATCTCACGGGGAAGCAAGTCATCGTAAAATTGAAATGGGGCATGGAGTACAAAGGTGAGTGAAGAAGCAAATAAACAAAACGTTTCTTGCGTCCTTCGCACTACCTGTTTCTATCCGTTGACCTAATCGCGTTGTTTGACCCTCGCAGGCTATCTCATGTCTGTCGACGCCTATATGAACCTCCAGGTAAACCATAACTATATGAAGCTTTGCCTTTCGTAACAAAAACAGTACGGTTTTATCAGATCCCATCAGGTCATCGCAAATTTTCATGAATCTCATCGGTGATCGTTCCGTGTGTTGCGCTGACGGTGTGTGCAGCTAGCGAGCACGGAAGAGTACATCGACGGTCAGTTCATGGGAAGCCTTGGTGAAGTGCTCATCAGGTGCGCTCTTCCGTGCCTCGCATGCTCCTTCCCTTCGCATGATGCTCCGTGCCTTGCATGCTCCTTCCCTTCGCATGATGCTCCGTGCCTTGCATGCTGCTTCGCATGATGCTTCGTGCCTTGCATGCTCCTTCGCATGATGCTCCGCACCTCGCATGCTCCTTCGCATGATGCTCCGTGCCTCGCGTGCTCCTTCGCATGATGCTCCGTGCCTCGCATGCTCCTTGGCACTGACTTACTTCCTTCCTTGCTGTCGTCAAGGCGAACCGCCAGTGAAGGCGAGCCGCCAGCCCGCTTCAGTGTCGTTCTCTATCTTCCCCTCGCCTGCTTCCTTGTCTTCTCATGCAGTCCGCACATCTCACAATCCAGCTGATTGTTCCTTTCCCCCCCGTCCCATTTCATCCCGCCCTTCCACTGATTTGTGTCTGCGGTGCGAATGTTACCTTGTGAGTGGATGTGCTGATTGCCTTTCCCTCCGTCCTTCCCCTCCGTCCCCTCGTTCCGCGTGCTGGAATGGTTTGGTTGAGTGTGTTTTACACAAGAATGTTCCGCGTGCTGTGCTGAATCCGTCTGCGTTCCGTCTGCATGTTGTCATGTGAACCAACCACCTCACGGTCACGCAGATGCAACAACGTGCTGTACATGAGAGGCGTGCCAGAGGACGACGAGATCACAGAAGCGCAGGAGGAGGAGGAAGGCTGACAGCCAGTAAGAATATTGACGGTTTACAGGCACAAAAAACGCAGGTACATTGTTGGAGACGTCTCAAAAGAGATGCAACAACGTGCTGTACTTGAGAGGTGTGCGAATCATATACTTAATCAATCACTTGCCCTCCCCCTTTATGTGATTTACTTACCAATCTCCCTACCCCCACTCCATCTCCCTTAGCCCCCGCCCCGCTCCCCCGCTTCCCTCCCACCACTGTTGGTTCTCCAAGTCTTTATTTCTTAGTAACCCTTTCATTTCAGCTTCACCCATTCCCCCCACCACTCGTTGTTCCCCTTCCTCCACTCCCTGTCTTCCAACAACCCCTCTACCGAATCACCTCATTCTTTCACCCCTTTTCAAAGTCCGAATTTCATGCGCTTGGCCCCATTTTCTAAGATGCTCGTTCTTTCTGTTGGTCCTTTTGCCTTGGTCCATGTTTGTCAGCTCTGTATGGCACTCTGCGGCTCCTCGTGTCCTTGTCTTCCAACCACACCCTCTCAACATTCAAATATGCTGAATTCGTTCCTGCAAGGTAGAACAGTATGGTAAGGCAACCAATCCAGGAAACATGGTGACTAATATAGCTAGCTGCAACAACTTACGTGTTACCTGTAGTTGCTTGCTTGCAGTCTCCATAGCAGGGACACAGTGTGGCTAGTACTAGGTTGGAAAAAGGTGGCAGGGGATGGAGCAGTCTAGCGTCCTCCTTTGTGCTTGGGCTGGCCACTGAAATCCAGTGTTCATCCTCATTTTTGCCACCTCGACTAAAGATGATGATGCACTCCCTGGTTTAACCAGTTTACTATGTTTACTGTGGTTTGAATGTTTTTATCACTGGGCTGCAAATGCAGAAGGACTAGGTGCAAATGCAAAAGGACTAGGTTGCAATGCAATGTGTTTGTATTGATTCCAGGATTCTAGTATGAATTTCTTCACGCTTTCAATAAAGGCCTTCTGCTATCATGTAGAGTAAGGCAGTTTTGTTCTTCAGGGCACCCGCCCTTAGCTAAGCGTCTCATAGTTCTAGAAGCTTCACTAGGCAAGCATATATTCCCATAATCCTATACGGAGGTCGTTTGGTGAGGATGAGAAACGAGGCGAAATGCATGCCACGTACTCACCTTTTCGGGCAGCTAAATGGTGGATAGTGAATTAATCTCAGACGTCGACTGGAGTTCATCGGATGGCTTTCGGCTTTCTCTCACAGTTAGGGGGCAGCAGTGATACCGCGTCAACAATCCGAGTCGCTAGCGACGCCGCCCTCCCGTGACGCCTTCAAGTAATGGTTCATTTTTCTGAACCAGCCCGTTTCAGTCAGTAGCTTTCGGACATAGCATCGACTATGATATGTAGGCATAACATCGACTTCGCGCTAGATATAATATGGTTGAAAGGCACGGATTTATAGATCAGCAATTTTGAAGCAGGTGTACACTTTTCACATTTCATGGACCATTCTCCTCGACTGCCCATAAAATCGGCGCTGATATTCAGCCGAGACGCGTCCCTCGTCGACCAGACCAGACCAAAACGTCGGCGCTTCGCCTGAGGTTTGATGAGGGAGGAACATCTGGGGGCAAAAAAATCGAGAATAAATTGGGGCTGGAAATCCTGTCCATTCATTCACTTCCAAGCGTCGTTTCGAGGTTCAGTTCACTCCCCACCCCTTCGTCCTTCACCATGGCTTCTATGAAGCTCCTCGCTCTTCTGATCGCGATTTCCGCGATTTTGGTCGCCCTGCTTGCGCCCTCCGCTTATGCGGAGTCCAGCGCCGTCGCCACTTCAGGTGGGTACCGTCATTCCGCTGCTGTGACTTACGTCAAAGCGTTTGCTATTCATTTTTGGTTCGTTTGTTGTTTGCTCGTTTGTTTCTATTCCAAAATGTGCAAATTCTGACTCTCGCCACGCGTTTTATTTCAGGATCCGCGTCAGCTCTCGCCACCAGGCGCTTCTTGGGCGACGGCCACGACGACGACGATGATGACGACGATCACCACGACCACGACCACGACCACGACGACGACGACGACGATGATGATGACGACGACGACCACCATCACCACCACGAGAAGAAGGAGAAGAAACCCAAGAAGAAGCTGACGTGCATTGAGAAGTACAAGATCAAATACGCCAAGTGCGAGGAGAAGGAGGAGAAGTGCGAGGCGAAGGCGGCGAATGCGGACGAGAAGGAGGTCTGCGAGGCGCAGTCGACGGTGTGCGAGCGCAAGGCGTACAAGTCGTTCAAGAATTGCAAGTATGGCAAGTGGGGGTGCAAGGACTGGTGCCTGTACCGCCGCCGCCAGTGCCTCAAGTGGTACAAGGCGCCGATGTGCGAGGAGAAGTACGAGAAGTGCGCCGAGTCGTGCAAGCCCAAGCCGAAGAAGGAGGAGAAGCCCAAGAAGGAGAAGAAGAAGGAGCACCACCACGACCATGACCACGACGACGACGATCATCACGACCACGACGACGACGACCACCACGACGACTAGACGACGCTTTTTGAAACGATCCCCCATCTCAAAAATCGGGAAAGGGTTTTCAGTGTGCGGTTTTTCGTTCCGCAAACAGTAGGCGAAATGAATCCCCGTATGGTAAGTAAATGTGTACTCTATAGTTACCAATATTGGTTTAGTATGTAAAACGCCACTGTAAAACGATTTTGTATATGCTAAATTCATATTTTTCCTCTGACTTGCTTGCAAATGTTCTCAGATTGTGCCAATCATCAGAAAAATGTGAAACTGCCGAGTAATGGTCATTTTTCGAGTTGGAGGCTGATGGTTTTTTATCGTTTATTCGGTGATATCTGGTGCACCGTTTTTCCCGACAGTTTATTATCGTGTGTGACGAGGAATTGCAGCAGATTGTCGAAGCCTCTTCTATTCATTTAAGACTACCCCCCTCGATCCCCGTTTATCTCTGTTTGAGCTAGTTCGCACAACTACGTAGCATGTGGCGCATGTTTGCGCGTTCCATGGTGAATTTGTGCAAGGATCGGCCTGTGCACAACATGTCACCGTTTCAACGTCTGGATGTTTTGTTTTGTCAGATTTATATGACTTAGCTGCTGTAGGCTATAGTGGGGTACAGCTTTCTAGGGTTTGTACTTGTACCCAACTTTCCCTTAGTCTTTTCATTCCTCGTTCATTCTCACATGGTATAGAGCAGGTTCCCCTGTGGGAACTGTTCCTAGGGCCCACCAACTTTTTTTTCCTGCCCGGAGCGCGCTCAGCCTCTGCCCGAGTCGCGCTCCCCTCTCACGGCCCCGTCGCGCCGCCCTTACGACCCCGTCGCGCCGCCTCAGCGGCCCCGTCGCGTCGCGCCTCCCTAGCGGCCCCGTCGCGTCGCCCTTGCGACCCCGTCGCGCCGCCCTCGCGGTCCCGTCGCGTCGCGCCGCCCTCGCGGCCCTTTCGCGCCGCCCTCGCGGCCCTTTCGCGCCGCCCTCGCGGCCTCCTCGAGCCGCCCTCGCGACCCCTCCACGCCGCCCTCGCGGCCCCGTCGCCTACCCTTGCGGCCCCGGCGCCACCCTTCCCGGCCCCGGCGCCGCCCTTCCCGGCCCCGGCGCCGCCTCTGCTGGCCCCGTCGCCCCACCCTTGCGACCCCGCGGCCCCACCCTTAAGGCGCCGGTCGCCACCCTTCGTGGCCCCGCCGCCGCCCTCAGCGGCCTCGTCGCCGCCCCACCCGGCCCCGCCGCCGTCCCCACGCGGCCCCGCCGTCACCACCGAGCCGCCGGCGCCGCTGAGCCGCCGATCTATTGAGCCGCCGCTGCTGCCGAGCCGCCCGAGCCACCCGAGCCACCCGAGCCGCCGAGCCACCTGAGCCGCCCGAGCCGCCGAGTCGCCGAGCCGCCGAGCTCCAGTTGCTGCCGAGCCGCCGTGCCGCCGAGCCGCCCGAGCCGCCGAGTCGCCGAGCCGCCGAGCTGCAGTTGTTGCCGAGCCGCCGAGCCGCCGAGCCGCCCGAGCCGCCCTGTCCGGTAAGAGCGGCACCTCTAACACTGCGCTGCCCTTACCCTACTGCGCCAGCTGCTAGTCTACTGCTGTCATGGCTACCCCCAGTGTCCTCGCTTTTGACGCTGAGGGTCGGGCCATTGACTTTGACGTCTGGGTAGATGACCTGCAGCTTTTCCTACAGTGCGACAGGGCAGACGGTCTCTCTCTCTTTGACCTCACTTCTGGTGCCTCTTCTGCCCCTGCTGCTGATGCTGACGCCACTGTTCGCTCACAGTGGGCCACACGCGACGCTGCTGCCCGTCTTGCTGTGCGCCGCCACTTGCCTACCGCTGAGCGTGCACACTTTAGTCAGTACAAGAGTGCTAAGACCTTGTACGACGCTGTAGTTGCACGCTACTCTTCCCCTGCCACTGCTGCACTTAGCCGCCTCATCCTGCCGTACCTCTTCCCTGACCTCGCCGCTTTTCCCACAGTCGCTGACCTCATTACGCACCTGCGCACTAGTGACACTCGCTACCGCGCTGCCCTTCCTCCTGAGTTCTGCGCCAAGAGCCCCCCCCCTATGTACATCACCCTCTACTACGTAGTCACCCGGCTCCCTGACACCCTTCGCCCGGTCAGGGACCACTTTCTCTCTGTTTGCCCCACCACCCTCACCGTTGACCTCCTCGAGGAGCGCCTCCTAGCAGCAGAGAAGAGCATAGTCGCTGTAGGAGCCTCTCGTGGTGACCCTCGTGCCCCTGTCTTTGAGGGGTGCTCCCCCTCTCCTCTCTTGCCCTCTGTTGCCTCTGCTGCTGCGGCCGACCTCGTTGGTCTTGAGTCGGTCGGTGCGGCGTCTGCCCCTAGCGGGAGACGCCGCACTGGCAAGGGCAAGGGGGGCAGGGGCGCTGGAGGAGCCAGCGGGGGCGGTGGAGGCGGCGGTGGAGGCGGCGGAGGGGGTGGGGGTGGCGGTGGGGGTGGTGGCGGGGGTGGGGGCGTCAGTGGCGGCAGTGGAGGCGGAGGCGGCGGCGGCGGTGGCGGTGGGAGCGGAGGTGGCGGAGG